CTAGTAATTCAGATTGAATCAGTCATTGTAGACAATCAAATACTTTCCCCAAAATCTAAAACCCTAAAAGCAAATTTCGATATTATCAAATTTTAAAATGTATTAAATATCAAACAAAATAAACATATATATGAATTTCTAGAATCTACAAAATCTGAAAAATTAAAAGAAAATCACAAAAAAAAATTGAACATAATAAATATATGATGAATATTTAAACAAAATCACATAAAAATTGGAAAATTTGATTGAAAATTTGTAATGTATAGAATCAGTGATTTAAACATCAAATCAAAAAAAAAAATCAAAATTGATAAAGGAAATTACCTTGTCAACCGAGAAATCTGCTTGAATTAATAAAGAGATTTCGTTTAACAATAAAGAAAATTTCTTGATGAACAACAATTTAGCACCTTGAAGAAAGATAAACTTGAAACGTGAAAGGTGTGAAAGAAACGTGAAAGTTGGGGAAGAAAGGTGAATGGTGGTGAAAAAAGGTTAATGGTATTGGTTTAATTTATTTATTTTTCACTTTAAACGATTATTGGTATATAATTTGGTCTAATATAGGACTCTTTTCATAAATAAAATTAATTTAAAATACTAAAATCTGAATACATATTATTTTATAAAAATATTGTCATTCTGCCATTTTAAATAAATATTTTAAAGTGTTATTATTTTGATTAATTATGTTAAATATCAATGACTTAATTGCTAATTTTCCCTAATTTAAATAGGTTGTCGATCGACGGACAAAAGAGAAACAATATGGGCCCATTTCATAACTTTATTGAATAATTAATGTTGCATATGACTTTTCTAGTTTTCTTCATGGTGGAAATTTGACCAGTCACATGTGTTGATTAGCTTAAATAGTAGTAGTACTATATTTTTCCACATTAAGGATATTATATACTAAGAAATAATATTATATACATGGAATGTTATAAAGGGGATAATCTACTTTAAGGATATTCTTATTTTTAAATACTTTTTATTTGGCTATTCGGCTATTTGCAATACATAGTTTATTCCACATTATATTTACATAAAATATTATATAAATTTCCGCATGACTTAGAGCACGTGTTGTTTAATACAATTGATCAAATAATGTACTTTTTTGTTTTAATTTATGTGACATTATTTTTTTTAATCCATTAGAAAAAGAAAGATATATTACTATTACTATATATTAGAAGAGTCTAGGATTTACTATCATTGTTCTAATAAAATCATTACAAATGTTCAATACTTACTATATAAAATATATAAGTGGGCCCACCTCCTTCCACTTAAATACTACATATTATATATTATTAATTACTATACTATAAATCACTACTAATATCCAATATATTTATCAAACTATTTAAGTGGGCCCCACCACCTTCCACTTAAATACTACATATTATATATTAATTACTATACTATAAATGACTTAAATACTCCATATTATCTATTACAATAATTAACAATTATTTCACACTTTAAATTCTATCAATGCCATATAAATTAGGATAAAAAACCTAAGATATAATATTTAATATTTAAAAATAATATAAGTAATACTATACATTACAATAAATAATAGCTTAATTATTTAAAACTTATATAAAAAAATTAATTGACTCTCTAAATTCTATTGGTACCACATAAAATGGATTATATAATAAACATATATTGTTTGAAATTGACGGAAAAAAAACAATAAATCACAATAATTAATAAAAAAATAGTCCACTCCAAAAAATCTATCAATTAACAACATATATTGTTTGAAATTGACGAAAAAGAAACTATAAATTACAATAATTAACAAAATAAATCTCTTGACTCCAACAAACCTATCAATTAATGCCACATAAATTGGGACATGGCAAATAACATATATTATTAAAAAATTAGGTTCAAAATGTACTAAAAAATGCAATAATTAACAACTTAATATATTAAAGAGACATATAAAAAAGGGTTAATATTTGAAATTCTGCATCTGCCACATAAATTAGAACAAAGAGAGTAATAAATATTATTTTCAAAATTATGTTAAAAAAAAGTACTACAAATCACTATAGCTAACAATTTAAAATATTTTAAAAATTATATAAAAATTTCAATAACTTCTCAAATTCCATAATATGACATAAATTAAAAAAAAAGTGTTATAAATCATAATAAATAGTACAATATTTAAACTACTTTAAAAGCATTATAAATTGTAATAAATAATACAACAATTTAAATTACTTAAAATTTAACGACTTAATTTTTTTTTTAAAATGTATTAAAATTTTGGTTAATTGTCAAAACTTTACATGTGCCACATAAATTGGGACATGGACAGTCACACATATTTTTTTTTTAAAATTACATTAAAAGTATTCTATCAATTAACAACATATATTGTTTGAAATTGACGAAAAAGAAACTATAAATTACAATAATTAACAAAATAAATCTATCGACTCCAACAAATCTATCAATTAATGCCACATAAATTGGGACATGGCAAATAACATATATTATTAACAAATTAGGTTCAAAATGTACTATAAAATACAATAATTAACAACTTAATATATTAAAGAGACATATAAAAAATGGTTAATATTTGAAATTCTGCGTGTGCCACATAAATTATAACAAACAGAGTAATAAATATTATTTTCAAAATTATGTAAAAAAAAAAGTACTACAAATCACAATAGCTAACAATTTAAAATATTTTTAAAATCATATAAATTTTTTAATAACTTCTCAAATTCCATAATATAACACTTAAATACTACATATTATATATTAATTACTATACTATGAATGACTTAAATACTCCATATTTTCTATTACAATAATTAACAATTATTTGACACTTTCAATTCTATCAATGCCATATAAATTAGGATACAAAACCTAACATATAATATTTAAATATATTTAAAAATAATATAAGTAATACTATACGTTACAATAATTAACAGCTTAATTATTTAAAACTTATATACAAAATTTAATTGACTCTCTAAATTCTATTGGTACCACATAAAATGGATTATATGATAAACATATATTGTTTCAAATTGACGAAAAAGAAACAATAAATTACAATAATTAATAAAATAAATAGTCGACGAAATTGACGAAAAACAAATTATAAATTACAATAATTAACAAAATAAATCTCTCGACTCCAACAAATCTATCAATTAATGCCACATAAATTGGGACATGGCAAATAACATATGTTATTAAAAAATTAGGTTCAAAATGTATTATAAAATACAATAATTAACAACTTAATATATTAAAGAGACATAAAAAAGGGTTAATATTTGAAATTCTACATCTGCCACATAAATTAGAACAAATACAGTAATAAATATTATTTCCAAAATTATGTTAAAAAAAAGTACTACAAATCACAATAGCTAACAATTTAAAATATTTTTAAAATCATATAAAAATTTCAATAACTTCTCAAATTCCATAATATGACATAAATAAATAAAAACTGTTATAAATCATAATAAATAGTACAATATTTCAACTACTTTAAAAGTATTATAAATTGTAATAAATAATACAACAATTTAAATTACTTAAAATTTAACGACTTAAAAATATTTTTTTATATGTATTAAAATTTTGGTTAATTGTCAAAACTTTACATGTGCCACATAAATTGGGACATGGACAGTCACACATATTTTTTTTTTAAAAATCACATTAAAAGTATTCTATCAATTAACAACATATATTGTTTGAAATTGACGGAAAAAAATATAAATTACAATAATTAACAAAATAAATCTCTCGACTCCAACAAATCTATCAATTAATGCCACATAAATTGGGACATGACAAATAACATATATTATTAAAAAATTAGGTTCAAAATGTACTATAAAATACAATAATTAACAACTTAATATATTAAAGAGACATATAAAAAAGGGTTGATATTTGAAATTCTGCGTGTGCCATATAAATTAGAACAAACAGAGTAATAAATATTATTTTCAAAATTATGTTAAAAAAAAGTACTGCAAATCACAATAGCTAAAAATTTAAAATATTTTTAAAATCATATAAAAATTTCAATAACTTCTCAAATTCCATAATATGACATAAGTTAAAATAATAAAATAATATATATTGGGCCCCGTGCTGGCACGGGGTCCTATATCTAGTCTTCTAATGAAATTGTAGTACACACTATAATATTTTACGCCTAATAAATTTGATAATATGTCGATAATGCTAAATAAGATTAATGATAACTAACTATGTAATTTGTTTGCTAATTCTTTTTTTCTAGTGATCAATATTATCACATATTCAAGATCATACATTTCAAAAGTCTTATAATTACATAAATGTCATGATAAGTTCAAGTTGTTTTTTTCCTTTTTATAATGCAATGTTAAATCAAATTATATCGTATAAATTAAACGAAAAAATACTATTTATTATACTAATATTATTTGTTTATTCCCTCTGGCTAAACTTTCATTAATATAGAAAATCAAAGTGGGAGGAGGTTCTTAGATAAGTTATGTTCCTTTGTCTCAATTTATATAACATATTTTTATTTTATTTTGTTAATAATTAAAAGTAATTTAATTTTAAAATTATTTCATTTAATCACACATTTAAAAAAAAAGTATTTTAGACATTAAATTCTTAATTATTTTCTAAAATCTCAAGTAAGTTAAACGGCATCTCATAAATTTTATGAGACGTGTGGTTAGTATTCTAAGAAATTTATGACACAATTAATGTAGGATAATGGCACTCATATTGAGCACATATGCATGCCTCCAAAAATTCCCTATTCGTTTTTGTCAAAAAATAAATATCAACGTCTACTCTCTACAGCTCCAGCATCAATTATTTCCAACTTGATGCGCACTTCCTTTTTTTATTCTTTTTGCTGTTTATTATTTTGGGATTCATATATTCATCTTACTGAAGTGAACTTTTTGTTTTTTTTCTTTTACACATTTTTTATTCTTGAAAAATGTATCCAACCATAGCTTGGATTCTGAGATTACACTGCTGCTTGTTGTTCTTGATATTTGCAGAGTCCAGAGTTCCTCAAGAAGAAGGTAAATTGCTGCTCTTTTCTCTTGCTTTAATGGGTATTTTTTTGGATTCCATGGGAAAGAGGGGGGTTACTTTAGCAGATCAAGAAATACTTAATATCTTAGTACAGATTTCTCTCTCGATTGCTATAATTTTAAGAAGGATTAGGAGTTTTGAGTTTAAAGAAGATGAGAAATGGATGGAATTACTTCAATTTAGTGAATGTATAGTGAAAAGGTGTGAGCTTTACTGTTTTCAAATAGATAAATAATGGATTATTAAAGTTAGTCGCAAATGTCCTAGTAGTCAATAAATTGGCTTGAGTAGATGAGGTCTCAGGTTCAAAGCTCAGTTGACCCAAAAACACTAGTTGATTTCTTCCAATCAGTTGTAGCTTTGGTGGGCAGAGTTACCTAGTACATGTTGCTGGTGGGATGTGGGAGGTGGTAGGTATCCTGTGGAATGTATATAGTCACCTAGTACATGTTGTTGGTGGGAGGTGGGAGGTGGTTGGTATCACGTGGAATGTATAGAGTCACCTAGTATATGTTGCTGGTGGGAGGTGACAGGTATTCCGTGGAATTAGTTGAGGTGTGCAAGTTGGGCTGGACGCTACGGTTATTGATTGTTTTTTTTTAAAACTAAAGTTAGTTACCAGTTTCCTGAAATTAATGCTATGTTTAGCGCTTAGAATGTTCCAATTTAGGTGGTATTCTGATTTGCTTGTTTTGCCATGGAAGTGTTGGCCTTGAGAAGGTAGAGAGGTTTCCGATAGACCCTTGGCTCAATAAAGCATATCCGAATCAATAAGAGGAGGAGGAAATACAATTATTAAATAGTTATTCTTGAAAAAAGATATTTAATAAGAAGTTTGGCTGCCAGAAGCTTAGGATTTATATGTTAAAGTGATACAGTTTACAATGTAAAGGTTGACGAATATTATGTGACCATCTCTCACATACAAATTATGCATAGAAATCTGGTGGAGTTTTTGCGGAAACCCCCCTCTAGTGTTGAACACTTATACTCTACATCTGGAGTTGCATTGTTTTACAAGTCATTTCTGTCCAGAACTACAAGTACAAAGTTGTTTTTTAGAGAATGCAAGTTATCTGGTACCCGAACTGGTTTGAGTGTCAGGTACCTAGTGGAATAGTCGAGGTGTATGCAAGTTGGCTCTAACACCATGGATATAAGAACATAACAAGTCCTTTTAATAGCCCCTTTACTAGCATCAAGTGCATGAAGAGGATGCTTTTTTCTTATATGTTTACTTTTGCGTGAAGTATACTACATGTCCCCCTATTCTCTTGAAATATTTGATGTATTTCAGGAGTTTTTCCGATGGAGTGCATCTACGTCTCTTTGTTAGGTGTTAATTGTCGGAGTGAACACTTATTAGCTTACAATCATTGCATCTCGGTCACATTAAGGGATGAAACATTTTTTTGAGCAGCCTAATCTCTAGTCATTCTGCTTGTCTTACAGATAGAAGTGTTCAATAGTTTATATACTCCCTCTAGTCCATATTAAGTGAATTGTTGGGACTTTTATCATAGTTCAAAATAAATGAATGGTTCAAAGTTCAAGAAAATTGTTGGGACTTTTCTCCATATTTTCCTTTCATTTAGTGAGGCTCTTAACTACTTTACATTTTCTACTAGAATAGTTTGGGAATAATCAAAAGAGTAAAGTGGAAAGTAGCTTTTAATTTATGTCCTTAAAATATTTTTCATAAGGGGTGTGCCCCCAACAATTCACTTAATATGGACTAGAGAGGGTAGTTCTTTTCAATTTGATGGAAGCACTAAATAGAAATCAATTTTTCTAAACTTCTTCGGCTGATGACCTTTTTGGTTATTACCAGTTGTAATTGTCAAATAGTACCTTTGGGAAGATTGCATAGTGCAAGCTATACTAGTTGATATCAACCTACTGATTGTTTTTCAGTGAATGTCCTCCAACAAATTGCCAAAACGATGGGTGCAACATATTTGAGTTTCGATGCAGATTTATGCAGAGTTGAAAATGTTGGAGTCACAGTTACGCCAACGTGGCATGAGAAAATTGTTGGATGTGATCATGAAGACCACATCACAAAAATGTGAGGCATTTACACCTTATCACCAAATCGAGATTGATTAAATTGTTTCTAACCTTTTAGCTTGTCATGCATGCTTTGTTTCTACCAATATCTACGTGATTATCAATGTCACCCCAGAGCCAGCTTGGGGACAATCCTACTTGATGCCTGTCTGAAATAAAATTGAATGAAAGAACTCAAGGAATTCTGAAGTGAAGAGGTTTTCAGATTTTTCATGAACTTCCTTTGCCCAGAACCAATATGTATGGCTACTTAAAAGGCTTATTCAAACTTAAGTATTCCTGGAGCTTGTAAAGAGAAACATTATAGGCTATGCTTTCATCGGGTTTAGAAAAGCCATATCAATACAGAAGTTTCCTTTTAGTGACTTCATACTGATTCTTCTGTCTCAACTGGACTAAATACCACTCATTGCTGGATTTCTTTTATCAGAAGCAGTCATTCTGATTTCTCTTCGTTTGCGTTCACATCTTCTTCTTTTTTTTATTGCAATTGGTTCCGTAATTGATGTCTTTATATTATTTTCACGTATGCAGTGTATTAAAGGGTTTAAATCTTCCAGGAGTACTCCCACCTGAATTGGTAAAGCTTCCCTACATCAAAGAAATGTAAGAGCTATTCTTTACCATTTCCACAATTGATCCTTTCGCTAGCCTGTTTTTTTTTCATGACTATATCAACATAACTCACTAAATCTTTGCCTTCGTCTTTCTTACCCCATTCATAGTGATTTTGCGTTGAATTATCTCAGTGGTAGAATACCAGTTGAGTGGGCTGCAACACAGCTGACTAACATGTAATACCCCACTTTCTTTCCAGCTGTCAATTTTTTCTGTCATGTCTTCATTTTCATAATTGCATACTTTTTGATCCAGCTCTGTTACTGTAAACCGGCTGTCAGGGGAAATCCCAAAGGAGTTGGGAAACATCAGCAGCCTTTTGTACCTGTATGTATTGAATTTCTATTTGAACTTACTTCTATGATATCGGTCTGGAGATTGGATTCTCTTAACTAGTCAAAAAATTCTCAAATTATTGATATATATTGCAAAAGAAAATGTAGTGGCTATTCTGTCCAAATATAATTTGGGTGGCTATTTGCTCTCTTTATTCTATCCATTGAAATGTTTTAAACCAGGAATCTCGAGGCGAACCAGTTTTCAGGCAGTGTTCCTTCTGAACTAGGGAAACTGATTAACTTGCAAACCCTGTAAGACCTTTCTTTTCTCTTCCACTTTGTTATCTTCTCCTAAAGCAACTTGAAGAATAATTGGCATTTGGCACCTGAATGACTGATGCATAGACGAGTGGGTGATTAATCTTTTTCTACTTTCAGGATTTTATCCTCCAACCAATTGGTGGGGAAGTTTCCAACTTCATTTTCCAAACTCGTAAATTTAACGGATTTGTAAGAGCATACAGTCTAGCCGAGCTCCTTTTAGCTCTTATCTTTCTCGGGGAATAGAATATCTCACAGTATAATTTTACTATACAGTAGGATAAATGACAACAATTTCAGTGGACAGATTCCGGATTTCATACAGAACTGGAAACAACTTACCAAACTGTACGATCTTTCGAAATACCTTCCAAACTTCAAAATAATATTTTGGCAAGAGTTTCTAAACTTTTTCTTGATGATATATGAAGGGAGATGCATGCCACCGGACTAGAGGGTCCCATTCCAACAAACATATCTCTTCTGAATAAATTAACAGATTTGTGAGTAGAGAACCTTTCAACATTATCTTAACTATTTTTTATTAGGTTTTTGTAGAGCATTTACTCTTTGCAGTTCTCTCACGGTCAATTTTGTATACAGGAGGATCAGTGACATAGGTGGACCAGCTCAGGCATTTCCTTCACTGAGTGATATAATGGGATTCCATAACTTGTATGTCCAATTATACCGATATGTGGAAACCATTGCACAGTTACAGTGTGCTATTAAGCATTCTAGCTTTCCTTAAGCTAATTAAATATGGATACAGGGTATTAAGAAACTGCAGCCTTTCTGGAGAGCTTCCTGTATATATTTGGGCGATGAAGGATCTGCAAACATTGTAAGTTATGGACTTATTCTTCTGCACCTAATGTTCAAACTTCTTCAGCTGCATTCAAAATTACATGGTATTAAATAGAGAGAGAGAGAGAGAGAGAGCTTTTACATGATTTTCTGTCCTTCCTCTTCTGTCCGTGACCTTTGGATTCTCTGAGGTCACACTATTAACTGTCCTCTATTGGCGCCTCTTTCAGTTAACACTGCCTTCCCCAGTCAAAAACAATTGAGAAATCATTTCTTCTCTACCAAGAACTCCTGTAGAAATTAAAGCCCCTTTTAATTTCCTTGTTTGGAAAGTTGAAATATTTCACATCTAGTGTGCTCTCTGTGACTGTAAATTTTTTAGCATTTCCAGTTTTAAAAGATAATTGAGGCTGTTCGAGAAACAATGCGCTCGTTCTTAATTAGTATATGACACCTTAATATCAAAAGGTTTCATGCTGCTCTTTGCTTTTCACTAAACTTCTCATCATTCTTCTTCTTGTATCTCTCCAGTACATTATTTAGTCTAACATATAGAGTTGGCTCTTATACATTTTTCTTCTACAATATACATGTGGCGGTTGTAAGAGTTTGTGCACACAGATTCATCTGCTGTATCTCCTTCTGAGAGTTCAAATGGTAATCATGATTTCTTTTTAATTTTCTGCAGAGACGTTACCTTCAACAAGTTAGTCGGAGAAATCCCAAACAATATTAGTGCTAGAAGTATGCTAAAGTTTGTGTAAGTTGAATTGCAAAAAGTGGATTCTCTCAAATGTGATGTCCTTTTTATTTTATTATTAGCAAGTTACACCAGTCTCTTCTCAATCTTCTTTTGCTCATACCCGAACATCTTCGAGTATGAAGTGTATAACATGTGCTTGCACTTCCAGATTTGCTGTTGCCTTACTGCTTTATGTTCTCTGCATAGGTTTCTTACTGGCAACATGCTCAGTGGAGATATACCAGACTCAATTTTGAAGACTGGAATAAATGTGTAAGTGTATATTTGTTAATATTCTAATTTCATAAACAGTTTCTGCTGGTGTATGATGGACTCAGTCTTTGCGGAACATGTCATAATTTTTATTCATAAACATAATGGTCATACAGTGGCATGCCAAAGCAATTTTGATTCATTCACGTTGGCATTATTTTTTTTCCATATATTGTCTTCATGTGGATCTCACAACTGCTTAGTTCATAATCGGAAAGATGACATCTAACAGCGTCCGTTGCGTGCAGTGATCTTTCCTACAATAATTTTACATGGCAAGGACCTGACCAATATGCTTGTCAGCAGAATATGTAAGAATAGTTCCATTTTTGTTAATTCATGCTTTTACATTGTTTATTGGATAAGCATATATGGTTCTGACAATTATTCCTTCTACAGGAATCTGTATTTAAACTTGTACAAGAGCTCTGCAGCAGTAAGCCCCTTGTAAGATGATTCCTTATTATCCTGAAACATTAAAATTCTGATTTATGATGAAACTGAGAGAAAAAGGAAGTGCAAAGCAGAAGTGGTTGCTTTCCTATCTGATTCGGATTTGGGTCTAACTGCTTTTGTGCTTTAACTTCTTCAGAATGAGAATTCATCCATGTATGAAGGATTTCACTTGTCGTCGGTGTAAGTATGTTCTTTTCTTCTCTGGAAAGTTATACAATTTTCATATGGAATATGAATCCCATCAGTAGCAAGAATCTGAAACTTTATCTTTAGCCGCTTGGCCATCTTCTCCTTCACTCAAATAGCAAATTGCTCAACTATGCAAGAGACTGTAGCAATTTAGTTTCATTTTTGATATTTAACAAAGAGACATTCTAAGGGTGGATTCAGTCTTGGTGCCCGTTTGGATTGACTTATTTTAGGTGCTTTTAAGCCAAATAGCTTTTAAGCAGTTTTGAAGTGTTTGGGTAAAGTTAAAAAGTGCTTATAAGCACTTATTTTAAAGCCAAAATAACAAAAATAAGCCAAAAGCCATAATTTAGAAATCTTAACTTATGGCTTTTGGCTTATAAGTCATAAGCCAAAAGTCAATCCAAACAGGTCCTTAAACTCATGTATATACAAGTATTTAGATGATTTGAGGACTCACAACCTAATCGTTGGAAATATTTTCTGCTTGATCATTTTCCCAACTTATGAAAAATATTTTGAGCATTGACTTCTATTATTTTCATTGGCAGATGGGTGTTCATTACATGTTAATAGTGGCGGAAATGATTTTACTGTCAAGGAGAGCGATGGAGAAGTTCATTATGCAGGAGATGCAAGCGTTGATGGTGGTTCTGCTAGATATTTCAGCAGTAGCACCAATTATTGGGGATTGAGTAGCACTGGGGACTTTATGGATGATAATAACGACCAAAATGCACGTTTTATTGAAAGTACATCATCAAAAAGCCTCTCTGAATTGTACAATAATGCACGGATATCTCCCCTCTCACTCACTTACTTCCGTTATTGCTTGAGGAACGGGAGTTACAATGTCAGCTTGCACTTTGCTGAGATAATTTTTACAAATGACAGCACCTATAGAAGTCTTGGAAGGCGAGTATTTGATATATACATCCAGGTTGGTATGTCCATTAGAAAAACTTTCTATACGCAAACTATGTTGGATGTGTGAAAATATGAGGAAAAAAGAGAGAACCTGTATTGTATTTGGTTGTAGATGATATACAAGATGCCTCCACATATAGAAGTTCAGGCAATTACAAATATGGTAAGCTAACCTAAATGAAATAAGAGAACTTATTAATTTAGGGAGACTACCCATCCAGAATTAGAAAAAATGCTCTCTACTACTTACCTAGAATATATTTTAACACATCACTGCATTAATTCTCCCACAACGCGCCTTCCAAACTCAAGGTGATACAGCAACTAGTGTTTGCAAATCAAAAGTGAAAAGTGACATGATACTACTTGGACAAAATAGAGTAGGAGTTATGATTGAATTTGAGGACATTCATGTCGTGAGCTTAACTAGATGGCTACAGAGAAGCAAGCACTGTACCAGATTGATTGGATAGATGACCATTCACGGTGTTTAACTTGGTGACGATATAGTAACCATGTGTTGACTAGTACTAGTCTCAACTAAAAGTGTCTCTAGAAAGCGACATGGTGCTGTCTGGATGGTGACACATCAGCTAGCTAGACAGCTATAGACTGTTTAACTTGACAGGTTAACAGGTATAGAGTGATGATATCAACCCAACGTGGACTGTCGATACATGGCACGTGCTGCCCAAAAGATGCTGGAGCCTGGAAGAGAGAAGAAAAGAGTGATGCTGCTTTATCTGGAAAGAGACGAGCCTTATTATGAAAAAAATGAAAAACTTTGTGTGGCAGGCAGCGTTAGATTGAAGCTATTAGATCTATAACAACAAAGTAGTCTCTATATAGGAGTTTAGACAACTAGGATACAAAATTTTTTCTTTCCTTTATACTGAGATTTTTGAATAGGAAGAATTTCGTATACTATTAATCTAGACATATTCTAACATCTCGCTGAATAAGTTCCTGTGACTTTCCACAAGATACCTACACAATATTCTTTCTACTTCAGGAGAAATTAGTTTGGAAAGACTTCAATATTGTGAATGAGGCTGGTGGAGTTCAAACACCTGTGGTTAGGCATTTTAACACCAGTGTAACAGATAATTTTTTGGAGATTCGATTTTACTGGGCTGGCAAAGGAACTATCAGAATCCCATCTAGAGGGAAATACGGTCCACTAATATCTGCAATCTCACTCAAACCAAGTAAGTTTCTTCAATCTTAATCATTATAAGGGGAATATCATAGTATATCTGCTTTCACACTTCTCACTTCGTTTCCTTCAAGTATATTGTGTATTTAAGCATGTCTCAGTGAGAACTAACACAAAAAGACATGTATCATTTTAAACTTTAAAGTCCCAAGAGATATTCTAGAGATTGTACATATCATATGAGCAGGTTCATACATGATAAATTTAATTGTTTCTAGAAGAAATACTGCAATTGAATGCATGATTACATTCATTGTTTGCTTAGTTGTGGGGTTGACATTGTTTATCAACTTCCGTTGTATAAGATAAAATTGCTGCTATCTAACATGATCCATGCTAATATTGTTGAAGTATGTGACCATCTCATCTGGTCTGATACCATGTTGAAGTGTGTGACCATCTCATTTAAAAGCTTAAGCTATTAGAGAGAGCACACTTTAACAGTTAATTATATTCTCAACAAATATGTGGAAGATTCTGATATTTTTTTTGCCATTTCCACCGTTCTATTTGAACACCAGTTGGCGTCTGAAATTGCAAAAGATAACTGGTTGGCTATCTCTCTCAACCATTGATTTGCTTTGGTCTCTTTAGAGTTGCGACATTTATCTAGAGATCAAGTAAACTATTATCAGCACCAAAAGCCAATCTGTGGCTTTAACTTAGCCTGCTCCGAATCATTGAAAGAGTAATTTTTCAATAGCTTTCCTAATTTTTTACTGGGCAAACTAGTTTTTTTGAAACTAAGCTATTAAAGTTCATACATGGCTTGATATTCCTGTGGTTCTGTACCAACTATAAGTATTAGTATGTTACTGATTTATAGTATAAACTTAGATGTTTACCAGGTGATAGAATATTTGTATTGTGGTTATTTCAACCAGGCTCTTCTTTTCAGCCTTCCAATATATAGTTTTAAGCTCTACATACTTTTCCTATTTCTATTGCTATTTTCTTTTCATCTAAAAAAATAAGTAGGAGTTAAATCTCTTCTGGTATGTCCGATGTAGGTTTACATTTTATAACTGTTTTCTCTCCTTTTTTGGTTATTGATTCAAAGGGTCATTCTATATGGCCGAGGAAATCCATTTTCGTAATTTTGGTTGAATTAACAGACAGAAATTCTCAGCTTGAAGGAGTGTTGGATGAGTGCCCACGTATATTTCTTTGCTATTATTTTCCCATGAATAATATGCATGTTGATATTCTATGTAATCAACTGGAATAATCTTATTTTCTATTGCCCCTGCTGCTGCATACACATAACAATCTTGTCTTCATTTCTGTGCAGCATTTGGATCTTGTTCAGAGGAAGATAAAAAGAGTGTGACTGTTTATGTTATTGTCGGAGTAGTGGTTACATGCATTTCCCTGTTGGTAATGAGCACACTTTGGTGGAAAGGATATCTTCAATGCAAAAAGAAACAGAGAAAAGGTGATCACTGAACAGGTGTTAGAATGAAGTAATTTTAACTAGCAAATTTTATGACTAGGCAGCCAGCTGATCCATGCATTACTGATTTGAAAGAGCACATTCTACTGAAATGATAATCAAAGAAAACTCCATATCCAGAAGTCGTGAGGTGTAAATAGATGACTAACCAGTAAAGTCTCTCTATTTCCATGACAGATTTAGAGGGCATGGAGCTGCAGACCATTTCTTTTACTTTAAAGCAAATAAAGGCTGCCACTAATAACTTTGATGCTTCTAACAAGATAGGGGAAGGTGGTTTTGGTGCAGTTTTCAAGGTATCACTTTGGTAACAACAGTAATATAGTATCGTCTTTATCATTATTGTTTGTGAACTCTGACCAAATATTTTATGTAGGGTCGGTTATCTGATGGTACGTTAGTTGCAGTGAAGCAGCTCTCGCGTCAATCAAGACAGGGGAACCGTGAATTTTTAAATGAGATTGGCATGATTTCATGTTTGCAACACCCAAATCTTGTTAAGCTGCATGGTTGTTGCATTGAAGGGACTGAATTACTGCTCGTATATGAATACTTGGAAAACAATAGCCTCGCTCGCGCATTATTTCGTAAGTTATTCAATCTCTTTTAAAAAAGTTCTTAAACTATTACTAACTCTCTATGAAATGTCCATTAAAATTTTAGCATGTTGGACAACTTTAGATTCCGAGAAAAGTCAATTGATACTTGATTGGCCGACAAGGTTCAAGATTTGTGTTGGGATTGCTAAAGGTTTGGCTTTCCTTCATGAGGAATCAAGCCTTAAAATTGTACACAGAGACATTAAAGCTACTAATGTACTGCTAGATAGAGATCTAAATCCCAAAATTTCGGACTTCGGACTTGCTAAACTTACTGAAGATGATAATACCCATATTAGCACTCGAGTTGCTGGAACAATGTAAGTTGCAATGTAAAATTCAAACTAGATCTTTCTTTTTTTTGCCGTTATCTTGTCAGCAGCGTGGTTAGGTAAAATTTGTAGCATAATTGTATGTTAATAACTGCAGAGGATACATGGCACCAGAGTATGCACTATGGGGTTATTTGACTTACAAAGCAGATGTCTACAGCTTTGGAATTGTCCTCCTGGAAATTGTTAGCGGCAAGCACAACTATGGCTATGTGCCTTCCGACAATTTCATTTGTCTTTTAGATTGGGTATCTTTCCTTTTCCTTTTTGTTAATGCACTTCAACAAAGCCTGACTAGTCTACCATTTATAAGATTGAGAATCCTTGAACTTTTTTAACCTTGAACCTCCCTCACTCCCTTTGAAGTTGCTAGCTTATAAAACTTAATTGCAGGCCTCTCACTTGCTGCAAAATGGAAAAATAGAGGAGCTGATTGATGATAAATTGGGTTCTCAGTTTAGCAAAGCAGAAGCAGAAAGGGTAATAAAAGTAGCACTATTATGCACTAGTGCGACGCCTTCACTCAGGCCTGTAATGTCTGAGGCTGTAGGCATGCTTGAAGGAAAAATTGATGCCCCTGATAGTATCCCAGAAGCAAGTATGTATACTGACGATTTGAGATTTCAAGCCTTGAAAGATTTCCAACAAGAGAGGCAAAATCAAAGTGCGTCAAGTAATCAAGCTCAGTGTTCAAGCATCCAAACTGCCTCTGATCTCTGTGAATACAACCCCGAATCAAGATCTGACTGACTCTCTATTGTGTGTGTATTCTTATTTAATCTCTTGCCGGTGTGCCTGTATCTTATGGCTCATGAGGGATTGCATTGGTTCAAAGCCACTCATCGAGGTATGATTGTTGCAAGTTGTAACTATTTGTTCAATTTTTTGTGAGTAAGATTTCTATAAAATGTACATAAATTACTATCCCAAGAAAAAGTGTGAGGAGTTATATTTCTCCAGCTCTGCATTTTTGCACCTCCTAGCTAGATTTCAAAGTTGTATAAAATTCTGCCCCATTGTGATATACCTGAAATGTAGACTATATGGTCCTTCTGTAAACAAAAAAGGATTCGTTGTTCTAATTGTGTCAGTTGTATCTTGTATTGCAACTTTTTGTTTGCCAAAAGAGGACAGTGTATATGCTGAAGAAACAACACATAATTTTAGATGAAACTGGAGGTTTTCTTTGACCCACAAGATAGTTAAAATTTATGTAAGTAGCAACTTCAACACTAGCCAAGGGTCTTATCATAAACAACATCTGCCTTCACAAGGTAAGGGTGAGATCTACGTACATTGTACACACCACTCTCCAGACTTCACTTGTGAGATTACACTGATATGTTGTTGTAGCAACTTCAACACTAGATAGTTGTAATTCTATTTCAGATAAAATTTCCAATTCGTCAAGATTGGAAATTTTATTAGGCCATTTGAGAATCTAAATAGTAATGCATCGCATCTCCCCCAATATAAAAAGAAGAAGATTTTCGAAGTAGCAAGTTGACCCTTTAAAGTTATACTCATATTTTAGGCATTTTCAGACTTGCAAATTTAATAAGTAAAGACCACCCACATCTCATATTTATATTTAATGTTCATCTTGCTTGAAGTCAATCTATTTGACTTTTTTTTTTGAATAATTAACTCAAAGTTTCCAGTTTCATACTATATTACTTCATCGTTCAATTTGCTTATAGAAATTAATTAAATTAATCGCTATCTGTAATAAACAGCTCATTCCCTATTGGCTTTCCAACTTCATGTCCATGAAAGATTACTTAACTTCAATTCCCTATTGACTTTCCAACTTCAAGTCCATGAAATATTACTAACTTCAAATTAAGTTATGTATCCTATTAATATATGTAGTATTTTTTGGGTATATTATTACGTGATCTAAAGAACTATCTAAAATATATAATTTCTAATCAGAGGTGGCTCAATGTCTTTAAAAATGAGACATATGTCTTAGGCTTCAAAATTGAAGTGCCTAATTTTTTTAGTAATAATAAAATTATTATAAGCCTCCTTTTTAACCAAAAAAAAATATACTATATTTTTTAATTTATTTGTTGTTTTTTTAGTTTGTTTCGAAACATTAAAGAATGTTTTTTTTTTATGGATCAATTTTTAAATTTAACTTCAACATGATATGTTTAAGACCACAAGATTAAAAAATATTTTGGTATATATATATATATATATATACATATATATATTTTAGTTTAAGATCATAAAAAAAAAATTAATTAAAAAGAAAAAAATAACTTGAATCTCAGATATAAAAAAAAAATAATTTAAATTTAGGTCTCCAATTTATTTTTTGATTTTAGGCAACTAATTAGCTTGAGCCATTTCTAATTTTTGAAATAAGATAAGATACTTATTACAGCTGATAAAGATATTTAACAATGTAAAAACTTCTTAACTAAATATTTGACAATGTACAAACTTTGTAACTAATGGTGTATACATTTAAACTCAAAAGAAAAAATAAACTCGAGTTTGTATTTTATTAAAATGAAAAAAAATAGGAAAAGGTTGGTAAGCCGGTATCTGTTAATATTAATTTTTTGGGGTAAAATATTGTACCCAAAATCGTGTACAAGTGTTCCTCCTCATATGATTTCAACGACACTTTACTGTTATGCAACACATCCACTGGACTGCTTAATAAGCACCAGTGCATCAATAGTTTCTGGGTTTGGAATTTAGTTTATGGGTTTTTTAGTAACGTTCTTTTTATAAAAGCTACAAGAAGCGAACTATATTCTTGTAGTCTAATATGTAATTCTGTAACAACAAACACTATTCCAATTACTTACATATACAAATACCGATTTCGGTTCCTCCATGAATGTTGTCGTATAAGAGCGCCTTTCTTTGTGATTGTTTGAATGGTTGATTTGGTTAATGGCATATTCTTTTTCTTCCCCTTTTTGTTGGGTTTACGAGTGTCAAAAATTGATGCGTTAGTACAAAAAAAATATAGATTCTTGATCTTTGTACTAAAAATTATATGACTGGGATTTTCTGTGATTATGATGCGAGAACGCATGCAATTGAATTCGAATTCTAAAACTGTTTGATTTGATAAAATAATATGTTTTCTTTCCCTTTCTTGTATTTAATAGTTTCAGAGCCAACACTAGATTAAGATTGAGGCTTTACTTGTTGAATCTTGACAAGCTAAATATTGAATCTTGGTTTTCTTGTTGGAGAGATATTCTGGCTTTGTCGTTGCCTGTCTCTTGTAATCTGCAGTGCAAGCTCTTCAGGTCTTGTATGCTTCACTGAATAGTCCTTCACAACTCTCTAATTGAAAGTCGAATGATGGTGATCCCTGTGGTGAGTCTTGAAAAGGAATCACTTGTCAAGCCTCTTCTGCTGTTTCAATGTAAGTTTGCACAACATTAACTTTGTGTGCGTCATTATACATTTTAGTTATGATTTGATTAATGTAATGGTTGGTTCTTGCTGAAATTCCCGATTTGGGACTCAATGGAATGTTGGGATACATGTTAAATGGTCTTATCTCGTTAAAGAACTTATAAGAGCTTGTCCTTTTAGTGGTAAAGGGAAACTTAGAGGACCTACTATCACAATAAAATTGAACTTCTGCAAAAAACTTCTTTTTGTCATCAGTCACAACTTTTTAATCGTGATCCAGCTCTAGTTTTTCAAACCAAAGCCATCAAATGAGTATATCCATACTGCAAATCAGGAAAATCATGTGTACAATAATTAGGGCCAAAATCAACACGACTATATCGGTGGTGTTTGAAATAAGTAGTTTTTAACTTTGATTATTTATCCATTAGAGAGCCAATGAAAATGTCGCAACTTAATCAGTGAATCGTAGTCTAACGCGCATATCTAACTGTTAGAACGTTGTTTATTGCATACTCTTGGTAGGGAGTGTTTTACCCGATAATTGAGGGTATGTCCAATGCAAATTCAAATTAACCAGCTGGATGATGAGACAAGGGGAGAAATAGAAAATGAAACAGAAATCTCAGGTAAAGAAAAATGACTGTTAAATCATATGGAGAAGTTGTGTTCTATGAAGGATCACAAAAGGCAGGGCGGAAACTCACATAAAGAAATTCAGAAAGATAGAACAACACATTGCCTATTGACTTTCCAACTTCAAGTCAATGAAAGATTATTTAACTTCCAATTAATTTGTGTACCTGTCAATGTATATAGTATTTTTTGGGTATATTATCACGTCATCTAAAGAGCAATTTAAAACATAAATTTTAATTTTGAAAATAAGATAATATACCTATTACAACTTATAAAGAGAATTTGACGATGTAAAACTTCTTAACTAGTGGTGTATATATTTAAACTCAAAAGAAAAAATAAACTAGAGTTTGTATTTTATTAAAATAAAAAAATAGGAAAAGGTTGGTAAGGCAAAGGTATATTAACAGGTCAATAATTATTTTTTGTTGTAAAATATTACCCAAAAGTGTACGATGCTTAAATCCAAAGAAAAAAAAAACTAGTGTCATGTGGAGGGTTAGTTGGCTAATTACCAATTTGGAGTATTCTATCATGGCTTACTGCCTAATCCAAATTCTATTACTTCTATGTTCTAACTAATGTCTATTTGTTTTATTATTGACTTTTATAGGAGCACTAATTAATGATGAGATTAACTAGAACCGTCATAATTCATAATTTATTAATGGCCAAACACATATACAGCCCCTCAAACTTGCCCTCATTTTTCATTTTGGCACTCCAACTTAGCCTTGTTCCATTTTAACCCTTAAATTCTATTTTTTCTGTACCATTTAAACAATTATACTAATTTTATGATTTATGTTCTTCAATTGTAATTTCTTATTTTAAAAAATAGACGTGTGCCTGTTAATTAAAAAAATTAAACATTCGCGAACGAACATAAAAATTTTCAAACAATAATATTATTTTTGATATTCTCTGTATTTTTGCATGAAAATAAATTGACGAAAGTTCATTGATTTTCTTTCTTAAACATTCAATTAAATTAAATAACACTACTTATTTATTTTTTTCTTATCATCTAGGCTATCTAAATTTAACGCAAATACTCACTTTTAATTTTTAATATAAATCAATACGAATAAAAAAACCCATCTTCAAAAAGACTCGACTGACTTTGTTAATAACACTACTAAAAAAAGACTCTTGTTCATTGCTAATAACACTACTAAACAATGTTAAAACTCGACTGACTTTGTTAGGATGTCGGTGATTTTAAAGAAAGAAAACCAACACAATTTCGTCGGTTATTTTTCACACAAAAATACATAACACTCTTAAAAAGAAATTATTATTTTTTAAAAAGAATTATTTTTTGTTAATTTTTATTTTTTTTAACTAAAATTAACTGACACATGTCGATTTAAAATAAGAAGGTGCAATTGAAGAATATATATATAAAAACAAATAAATCATAAAAATAGTATTTCGTGTTAAAATGATACATAAAAAATGGAGTTTAAGGGTTAAAATTGAACAAGGCTAAAATAAAGAGTCAAAATAAAAAATATGGACAAGTTAAAGAGGTTGTATATGTGTTTGACCTTTATTAATAGATTCTATTCTTAATTCATAATAATATTTTGAAATTATTAGTACTGTCCTAAAGTAGCTAAAGTTTAATCATATCCTTAAAGATATTATATTTTGTTAGTGAGAAAAACCTTTACGAATGAAGTAAACATAATTAACTGAAAATTATGTCGTTATTAGTATTATCAACAAGGATTTTCCTATGCAAACAAAATATGTCAATTTCATGATATTTAGGACCCGTTTGGTCATAGATTTCCCAAGTAATATTTGAGGGGAAATTTGGCATATAGTGTTTGTCCATATAATTTGCCATTATTTGACAAATTTTTTTGATAAATATCCCAAATTCCTAAATATTAGTTTTTCTAGTATTTGGGCCAAATATCATTATTTGAGATCTTTTAAAAATTGAAATTTTACACCAAAATTTTATCTTTTACAAAACACCCTAGTAGTTGTTTGCGTTGTATTACATTTTTTTTTTTTTTTACGTGAATACCAAAGTAGTGATGAAATATTCAGTGAATATGAAAGTGATGATGTGGTTGTTGATGAAAATAATGAACAATCAACTCAGGGTAACAAAGTCATGTGCTTTGTCTACTTCACGATGTATGAAATGATGCTTGTTGCACTCACTCCAAACTACCACATTGCTCCAGTGTCATGGACGCTACTTGTTATTTGTTGCAACGAAGATCCAATTGACTTGTAATACAAATTTATGATTAGTTTTGATAGTTTTAAAACTTACGGGTATAAATCATATTTTTCTAAAAAAGTGAAATATGTTTTCCAAAGACTATGACTAAATACATAATGAAATTTCACCTAAATTTTCACCCAAATAATATTTGTCAAGAGTATTTGAAAATCTATAACCAAACGCTAGCTTATATTAAGTCGTATTCGACGTTATTACTTTGAGAATTCTACCCTACTAAATGGACCCCAATAAAACAGTTTGTAATAAGGAAAAGAAATGGTCAGCAAATCTATATATAATAATAGTACAAAATGGAAAAGTCAAAGTCTGTCAATTTTCTAAACCTGCAGAGTGTGAAGCCATTACAATATTTACATTTAATTCAGTGTTTGTATGAGTTGCTCAATTATATGTGAAAAGACGAAATGAAAGTGGAGGATTATGATAAAAGATTATTAGATAATTGATTTTTTTTATTTATTTTCTTTTCAGATTCTACTTATAAAATTATTAGGGGTACATTATTGTTTGTAAAAGTTAAAAAATGAATTTGTTATTAAAATATTCAAATGAAATTCTCTTTTCATGGTCAACAAATTAAATATTTGCTGTCGAATATTTTTCCTCTAGCATATTTTTTAATTCACTCTTGCTATATCTATACTAGATTTTCAATTTTGACTTGCAGCTCCTGGTGCCTTTTGTTTTCATTATTTAGAAAATTTCTTTTTACACATTTATGACTTTTTAGGGTGTTTGGGACTCGGAAAATTCAATGTAACTATAGGATTATTATACACAAAGAAAAGTTTAAATTTATAGTAGAATAATAGTTTGGAACATTGGAAAATAAAGTTTGAAACATATAATAGACACCAACCTAACTAATTACATTTTATCACATTAAATTACATTTCACATTTAAAAAAGATAAATGAAGAGCCCATTTTAATTAACCGATGGTATACAATTAGTGTTAAAAATTATTTTAAGTATATTACTTTATAAATAAAAAATTTCCATATTTAATAAACATAGATGCTAAAACTATTAATAAACAAATGATATATTTGATAACAAATGCAAATTTATTTTTCTTAAAATGCAAATACATAAATCTCTAATGCATGCTAAACACTGATAAATCAAACTAAAGATGTCGCGACAAAATTAAGATTTGGTGTTTTAATTTATTTGTCCTATTCATGCTATGATGTTATTTTTTTGGATCATCCAATAATCACTTTTACTTTTATCTGCAAATTGACATGATCTTACCTAACTTAACCATTTAAAGAATTTAAATTTATTTAATTAATCTTAATCATAGGTCTGACAATTCCTTATTATAGTCCTTCTATTTGTAGTAATTTTTTTTTTTTTTACCTAAATCAAATTACTTTTTCTGTTTATTTTTACTTGTTTACCATAGCACAAATAGATATTTATTTGTATTTATACAGTGAGAAATATTTAATCGTGAATGTCTCCATCTTGTCCAATAGTATTACATATGAATAGTCATAAAGAATTAAATTGAAATATCAAGTGGGTAGCCAATGGGTCCATCAAAGATCAAGAAATCTCACGTGCCCCAGTTGCCATTGACTGTTCTCTAAAGTTTCAATTTTTACATTATAGAAATTTCTCTGAAAACAAACAAACTTTGTTTTTGTTTATGTATAGGAAGTTGGTAAACAGCTAGCTCAATTTATACACACATAGTTTTTCTTGTTTGTTTATGGTACACTATTTTGAATCCAATAGAACTTTTGCCTTAATAATAATTAAAAAAAGACCCAGCTTTTAGGCTGAATCATTTCTTGGATAGAATTTTAGGTGTACATTTTGTACGTCCAACAGTACTGTATATCACTTGGAGGCTGGAGCTTGAAGAAAAAAAAATGTTGCCACTAAAAAGAGCTGTTCTTTCATGGATTCTTGCAGTGAACTGCTTCATGTTGTTGAGTTTGGGTGACTCAACAAGAGTTGCCCAAGAAGAAGGTAAATTTTATAGCTTTTTTAAGTTTTAGTGGATGGGTTGTTGAGTGGGTGGTGGGTGCATGAAGGGTATATGGGATTTTGCTACAAAGTCAAATTTGTGCAAGAAATCAAGAATTATGAAATTTTGAACTTATTTCTTGTTCTTCCTCCTGTTCAGTTAAGTTTCTTGAGAAAAGATCAATTTTGAGTCTCTTACTAGAGGAAATGTGAAGAACATAAGGCTCTGATCAGTTAATTTTTTTTGTATTGTAGAAAAAAATGGAGCATGCTTACTTAAAAAAGCTTCCTATATGATAGAGTCTTACTTTAGGGCTGGAAATTTAGACTTATAAGAACAAAAGGCTGGGAATTTTAGTATTTTGTCTAGGAACTAATGGGAGGGTCTTTCAGAAACAGCCTCTCTACCTCCACGAGGTAGTGGTAAGGTCTGCGTACATTCTACCCTCCCCAGACCCCACTTGTGGGATTTCACTAGGTATGTTGTTGTGTAGGAACTAATGCAATCTGGTAAAATAGGGTATTCAAATGATGCAGGGTTCTACACATTTGCTAGGGAAAGTTGCTACACCTTTGTAGCCTAACTCCAAAATGTTGAACCCAATGGAGAGAAATACAGGATGAGAATATACTAGAAAGGGTATTTGGGGGGGCGGGGGGGAGGAGTTTCTGGCCAATTGATCCTCAATTCCAAAATGTAGGCAGGGGTGTGCAGCTTCCAGTGTTTTGAAACTTCTGATTTTGTTTGGTGAGATATACTATTTAGGGGTTTTCTGCTTCCTGCACTTGAATTGAACTTTTGCAACTATCTTGTAAGATCTGCATCATTTGGCTAACAACCTGTTATTTGGCATATGCTTTGGTAATTTCTCAGTGGACATTATGGAACAAATCGCCACTACAATGGGAGCAACACACTGGAAATTCAATGGTGAATTGTGCCAGATTGAAGCAGTCAGGGTTACAACTGATCTTCCAAGTTGGTTCGAAACTGATGTTGTATGCAACTGCAGTATAGGAAATGATACTGCCTGCCACATAGTAGCTATGTAATTTTTCATCATCTTGCTCGACTTTGGTTATAGCACATTATGTTTTTGGAGAGCCAGCATAGATAATTTGGAGAAAGTAGCTATTAAGTCCTAAGTTACTCATGTCTTGCCATTGCTGTTAGAGAACCCATAACCATGCTTTATTAAGTAGTATTAGCATTCCATTTCCTACATCTTTGCTACAATCTTAAAATTATATCCTTGGACAACTAAAAGGAACAATATATAGGAGGATTACAGATCAGGGGGAGCCAGGTGCACTAAGCTCCCACTATTTGTGTTTATGCAAGAGGTTGTTTCTGCAGCTTGAACTTGTGATCTCCTAGTTACACGTCAACTGCTTTGACATTGCTCCAAGGGAACCCCTGAAAAAAAGGGGAGTTCCATTTTTGCCAAATATATAAGTTGTGCCTTCGCCAAAGATATGTTTTATCTTTATGGCTTGAGATTGTGTACAATTTCATTATATATTTGATAAAATCTTAGGCTTCCTGAGATGTATGAAGAGCAAGTTGATATCATTGACTATTTTCACTTTTGTGTGCAATATATTATATACCTTACCATCTTAGAGTGGTTCCTATCAGTATTATGTGACTATAATTGGTTTCATTTTCTAAACAAGAATAGGATATCTATTCATAATATTTAGATAAACTAAATTACATTGTTGACTCTTGAAATTACTTATGCAGTACTCTTAAGGGTATAAATCTTCCTGGCGTTCTTCCACCTGAACTGGTAAAGCTTCCTTACATTCAAAAAGTGTAAGAATCTTTTGAATGCTAGTGTCACATTTGCTTTTATTTCCCGTGTAATCTAGTTCAATGTTCAAATTTTGATAAGCATAATTAACTGAATTCACATATTCTCAATTTTCAGTGATTTTGCATACAATTACCTCAGTGGTAGTATACCAACTGAATGGGCGTCAACTCAGTTAAATTGCATGTAAGCCCCATTTAATATATTGTTAAAACAGCTGTTATGAGGGTTGTTAATCATCAATTGTAACTGCAAATTTTTTGATCCAGCTCTGTTCTTGTGAACCGGTTGTCAGGGGAAATACCAAAGGAACTGGGAAACATTACCAGCCTTACCTATATGTATGCATCAAATTTTGATTATCTAATCTGATTTCTCATCTTCATTTCTTATGTAGCTGTTTGGACACCTTTTGAAGAAAATTTTATGTAATAATCTTTTGTCCAACTCCAATTTTAAATTTATGAAATTTTCTTTTCAAGTATAATGAATGCGCAGAGCTTAACAGCTTTTATGCTATAGTTTAGTTTTCTCTTTGATGCAGTGTCTGGACATGCTCCTGTTCATTAATCTAAGCATTATCTCATTTTCAGTTCTTCTTATTTCATTATTTTCCCCAAAAAATCAGCCGTGCACTAATCTATGTAGCAATCTTTGACCAGAAACCTTGAAGGAAACCGATTCTCAGGCATTATTCCTGATGAACTAGGGAAATTGATAAACTTAAAGGCGCTGTAAGACCATTCTTTTCCTTCTCTCTTTTAGGTCTGTCCATATGAGTTGTGATTCCGGGGGGATAAATAGATACAATATCCAATGGAGAAACATGATCTTAATTTCAGGATATTGTCCTCCAACCAACTGGAGGGAGAGCTGCCAGTGTCACTCTCTGGACTTGTAAATTTAGCAGATTTGTAAGTACATGGTTATATCATTATTCTTTTAGCTGGTCATTTGAAGACTATGTTTAACAGTATTTTGTTTGCAGTAGGATAAGTGATAACAATCTCAGCGGACCAATTCCAGATTTTATAGAGAAATGGAAACAACTTACAAAATTGTAAGAATTTCTCTTTTGATAACAGAGGATCTTGAAAGATTTTTGATAGAAGAATAATTTCATAGTCTCAAGTATTTAATTCTTATTTTGGATAATCAACGAAGAGAGCTGCATGCTACCGGTTTAGAGGGTCCCATTCCATTAAGCATATCTCTTCTCAATATGTTAACCGATCTGTGAGTACAGAACTCTTAAATATACCTAATCTACTTCTTTCTTTTAGTTTATGGATCTCTTTACTGTATGGAGACTTCTCATGTTTGAGTCTCTTATTCAGGAGGATTAGCGACATAAAAGGACCAATGCATGAATTTCCTCTTCTAATTAACATGACAGACCTAGAGAGACTGTAAGTTGCTGGGAGTTTATTCCAAATTATTATTGGCATCCAAATTTGATGGATCTTTTCTTAGTGCTGTTTAATCATTGGATTCAGGGTACTGAGAAACTGCAACCTTTCGGGAGTACTTCCAGGATATATTTGGAAACTGAAAACCATACAAACATTGTAAGTAGTTCACTTATAATTTTGCAAAAATGAGTATTCCTTTGTCTGCATTACGCATTATCCTTACATGTCTGATGTTAAACTTCGTGTCCACATGCAATAGGCTTGAACAGTACTGACAAGTCAACTTTGAAACATTTGTACTTATAGCTGGACCTTCCACTTGGCCTTAAAGACTCTTGAGTTATTACAAAGCCGAAGTTCTCATCTTATAAGTAAACACTTCCTTTCTTCCACCAATATGATTCTTTCTTGTTAAGGTTCTCACAATTACCTCTTCTGAAAGAAGTAGTTGTTGTGGTGAACCATTCCAGAATTCCCAAATGATGGCCTCTAGAGGAGGCTCCTTTTGTAAACCTCAAATCTAATGACTGAACACCTAAAATGTTGAATGATGTCCATCTTATCATACTCCCTCCATTCCAAAATAAATGGTATCATTAGTTTTTCATTTTGTTTCAAAATAATTGGTGTTTTATATAATCAAGAAGACATTAATGATGTTCTTCCAATTTTACCGTTATATAAATAAAGGAAGTTTTACATAACAAAGAAACTACTAAAGAGCTACATCTTTTTCAAGGTATTTATTAAGGATAAGTTAGTAAAAATACATTTTATTTTCTAGGAATGAGTAGTTTCTTAAGGGGTGTGCCCAAGCTAAAAACCCACTTATTTTAGAATGGAGGGAGTATGTGGCTCGCCTAGCCCAAGGGGCTTCAGGCAATACTTGACATTTAAGCCTGAATGACTTTGGCTTATGATTTTACTTTTCACCTCTTGGGACTTCAACCCAAATTGAGACAAAACAGAATAGAAGTAGTGTATAAGCTGGTTATTCTGTCTTCTTCTGGCTTGTCCGTTAATTCTCATTTTCTGCGTTAAAAAGAATGGAACAAGTCAAGGCTGTTCAGTATACAGAACTCACAAGGCATCATACAGCTATCTTCTTTATATTTTCTAGTGGCAGAGATTTAAAAATCATCAAATTCATTATAGGTAAATAATAATGAGAAGCAAAATGCAAAAACAGAATCGAGAAACCCAAAATTCAGGATCGAACACCTTAATACAATTGCCTCTCCAGTCAGCTAGTGAATATTCCCAATTCTAACAGCCATAGTTGCTGGCGCTGGAATACAAAGGCCCAGTTTACTAATTTGTGGGGATTCTTTGGAGCTTGATAGCTTTGATTTTGATTAGATAGAAGTTGATACATGTGTATAACAATCATCATAGATGTGAACCACAATCCATAAACTTTGTGAACCACGGTGAGTAAGTATCTACAGATTGAAGGTGTTGTTGAAAGGAAAAAAAGAAGTGTTCATCATCCTTACCAATAATTTTTTTTTAAAAAAACAGAAGTGTTCATCGTAGCCAACACTTCAATATCAGCTAAACTTTGTTTCCTATTCTTTGCCTTTGATCTGTTTAATACACCGTCGTCTCTAAGCTTATTTTTTAAGGTACTATGACATTCATGCAACTCTAGCAAGGTTTATGATATATAAATTGGGCCTCCTCCTTTGCCCCTTCATGAGACTCCAGACACAAAATCACTTCCTATTTCTTGTGTTCTATGTTTGAACTTACTGCAGGGATGTTAGTTTCAATAAGCTCATTGGAACGATTCCAGATGACATTAGTGCAAGAAGTATGCTTAAATTTGTGTGAGTTTACTGCCAAGTTTTTTTTTTCTTAAATACTCTTAAGATGGTATTATTATAATTTTCAACAATGCAGGGAAATCTACATTCACTGTTTTCCGCATTATAGTTATTTAACTGTGATACTGTTTTAATAGGTTTTTATCTGGTAACATGCTCAGTGGAGATATACCTGCCTCAATCTTGAAGAACGGAATAAATGTGTACGTGTAATATCATCTTTATTCTCTTTTATAAAATATTTGTGCTTCACATTGTCTTGAAATGAAAGTGTAGACACTTTCATGCCATTATATATGCAGAGTGATATTTTTTCAGAGACATAGTTAAATTGAAATCTCAGGGAAATTATTGACTTTTATTTAGTATTTCTGTGTGTAGTTCTACAGTTTCTTTGTCTTTTTCACCTCTAAAATGTTAATGGATTGCATTCTTATCATTATAGTACTCCGGATTATGACTTCTAAGAATTCAAATTGAATGTACAGTGATCTTTCCTACAATAACTTTACTTGGCAAGGCCCTCAACAACCAGCTTGTCGGCAAAACACGTCAGTGAATCCTTCTGTTCGTTTCTCATTCATGTTTTTAGTGACAATGTATCATATGGTTCTGATAATTGTTCCCTTGACAGGAATTATTACATAAACCTGTACAGGAGCTCTGCAGTTGCAGGGACTCTGTAAGATGGATCTTCTCATTCTTTTTGTTTCTCATATTAGCTTTTACAGCTAACTAAATGGATGAATGAATGCTTTACTTTGAGATTTGTTTCTTTACTTCTGAGCATATATCTAAGGCCAATCTCTCTTTTGCTTGCTTCTACAGTAAGAACGTTCTTCCGTGTACAGAGGATTTAACTTGTCCAAGATGTAAGTATATTTGTGCTCACTGACATTTTATCAAGTAATACATTAGAAAGAACAATTCTTTTCATATTCGAAACTGCAGTTCTTTTGTGTTTTCTCATCTTCCTTTCCTCCATTTCCAATATTTAAACCAGTTATACAACCAAAGAAGTGTGTATGGTGGTGGTGTTGGTGGTGGCGATGTGGTGGTCTGGCAGTTAGGAAATTGAAGATGCATGATAAGATTCTCCTCTTTAAATGATTTTGGAGATATCTGAGAGTAACATAACACGCTGCAGAAAGCAGTCAGAGATGCAAAATAAAGAGCGAAGGAGAGTTGGTGTAAGGAGAAGAGGTTTATGGGATAAATTCATGACTTACACACAGTTCAAGTAGATACTTGGCAAGGAAATATATCACTCTGAGAGCAATTCAAAAATTTGTTTAATTTTACAGCTTTTCCTTATCTCAGTTTCTAAATGAGTATCGGTGTATGGGACATTAAATTTGGAAGAAATTGCCAGGAATGTTGGGAGACAGCTGGACTATTTTGTTGTCGAATTGGAGGAGAAGGAATGGTTGCAGATGGACAGTAGCTGAGGGTCTGTTTCTGTAAAAGGAGCATATAAAGCCTTATACCCTTATCTGGCTGTGTAGACGGTATCATCCATTGGCCACGGGACCTGTAGTGGGAAAAGAGAGCTCATCTACAATTATTGTGCTTTTGGTGCACTGCAGTTTATGAGGCTTGTAATTTATGAAATCACCATATGCAACAGGTGCTACATGTGAGAAATGAAAATGTGGATCATTTGGTTTTACACTCTGCTGTAGCTGATGAGGTTTGTAGTATGTTTTATAGATCCCACCAATTGATTCCCAAATCTCTGACACAATTCTTATTCAGTTGGAAATGGAGAAAGAATAAAGGAACCAACAGAAGTTTCTGGAACATGATTCATCTTTGTGTTATGTGGGTAATCTGGAGAGAGCAGAACATTAGAAGGACACAAAAACTTTAATCCACAGTTAATACACCTGTTTAGCTTTTAGATTTCTGGTGCAAGCTTACTTCCTTTGATGACATAGATGCACTTTTGGAGTTTGTTGACTCTTTTACCTTTGAAAAGGGACTATAGCTTTGAGTTAATGTAATATTACATGCATCCACTAGATGCACTTTAATCTATAATGTATTATGTCTGTACTAATGTCAAAAAGAAGAAAATAAATTATTTAGAAGTGATTCTCCTAACCCACTACACGGGCAGAAAAACATATCAATACATTAAAAAGAATAGCTGACAGATATTGTCTGCAAGTTAGCAATGAATGTGCTGTCAGTTACAAATATCTCTATTCTGGACCTACACTCTTGAGGTCATTTATCCTACTGAAGGCTTGTTATTAGATTTTCAACAACTGACATTTATATGTATATATGCATTGCAAATTTGGTAGTCTTTGCTGCCTGTGGTAATAAGGGTCTATGTGACAATTGTTTCTAGATATCTCTCTCTAACCATGTTAGTCCATTTGGTTACATGGCAGATGGGTGTTCCTTGCATGTGAATTGTGGAGGAAATGATGTTGCTATTACAGAAAACAACAGGCATATTGATTTTGACGGAGATGCTCATGTTGAAGGTGGTTCTGCAAGAAATTTCCGCAGTGATAAGTACTGGGGATTTAGTAGCACCGGAGACTTCATGGATGATGATAATGATCAGAATACACGTTTTATTGAGACTATACCATCAACTGACCTGTCTGAACTGTATAGTAGAGCAAGGGTTTCTCCACTTTCACTTACTTATTTCCATTATTGCTTGGAGAATGGGAGTTACAATGTTAGTCTGCACTTTGCTGAGATAATATTTAAAAACGACAGTACATATAACAGTCTCGGAAGGCGCATCTTTGATATATATATCCAGGTGCTTATCCTGAATGATGAAGTTCCCTTTAGAGTTATTTAGCTGATTCACATTCTTGAATGACCTTTTGATTTTAGGAGAAACTAGTTTGGAAAGACTTTAATATTGAAGAGGAAGCTCTTGGAGTCCTAAGGCCTGTGATCAGATACTTTAATGCTACTGTAACAGATAGTGTCTTGGAGATCCGATTTTATTGGGCTGGCAAGGGCACTGCCCGCATTCCTCTTAGGGGACATTATGGTTCACTCATATCAGCTATCTCAGTTGACTCAAGTATGTATCTACTTACTTTTTATATTTTTGGGTGGATTTACAGGGATTGTTTGACTTCCGACTTGTACTTTTTCCTTTATCTTCTTTTTGATAACATACTTTTTCCTTCTCTTCTTTCTACATTTGGTTTTGTCTCATGCATGGCATGTGAAAGAAGGTCAATTCATCACTGCACAACTGTGTGTGTATCTATCAATCCCTTTTCGTACTCGAGCCGTTACCCTTAAGTTACTTTATGGTGTATTTGCAGTAACTGTGATGAGCATCATGTTATAGCCTATAGGACCTGTGGGGCTCATGATGTAACTCAGTCTTCCTGTTATCTATCTCCTATGTCCGATCTTGTATAGTCTACTGTATTTTACAGAATTCAATTAAAAAATTAGTCGAATGAGTTATTTTATTCGGGGTGCAGTCGATATATGTGAAATGATGTGAATCTTAAAATAGTGTATTGGTAGTAGTAAATAGTGAGAGGAGTTTATATATCAGTTTGACTTTAGAATTTGTTGATTTTTCCATGTAAGGAAAGAGTTCCATTTTCGGGAAATGGAAAAAACAGATAGTAGGTCAAGACAAATGGAATGAAGTTCAAGAGAAATTGGACAAGAGTAAATCTTTTCTTGTTGTCATGAACTTGCAAGAAAATGAATTTTGGTGTTTCCCTAGATGTTTCTTATTTTATCCCGCTGTCCTCCTTATCTTTTCAAGAAACTGCTACTTCATTCAAAATTATGGTGGTAAAATAGAAATGGAGAAATATATTCTTATTCATCATTTTGGTGCAATAATTAGCGCTTAAGGAAGTTTCTAAACATGGAGGAAAAATGAATTCACCGCATTTGGCAAGTGGAGATGCCAATAAGGCTTGTAAATGGATCCATAGCTTGGATCGAAGTCCTGATCTATGCTTGAGTTAGAGGATGGTTCTGCAGATAGATGGATTTTGTAAAGCATGCCGCTTTCTTTTAAATGAATGATGACCTGCATTAATGGTTCTGCTCACTTTGCTGCTCTGATTTACCCTTTTTTCATTTTCTTTTGGACTTTGGTACAGCTTTCAAGTTCTGTTCAAACAAGGACAGAAAGACCACAATAATTTATGTTATTGTTGGAGTTTTGGCTACATGTATCACTTTTTTCGTACTGAGCATTCTTTGGTGGAAAGGCTGTCTATGTAGAAAAAGTAAAAGAAGAGGTGAGCTTGAAAAGTTTCTAAAATTGCAAATTTAAATAGTAGTTATTAATCTACTCTTCGGTGGATTTTGTTGAATGCAATCCATTGTATATTCGAAAGTGATCAAAATACAAACATGCATGATTAATCATATTGAAGGTCTTGAAATCCAAAGTCTTGTTTAATGTAATAGCTTAACACATTGATTGACCTAGGAGATTCATTATTTAATGAAAATCTAGGAGACTCGTCATTATTGTTTCAAATCTAGAAACACCTCAATTAATGCTAGTTACACATCTTCGTTGTATCAAATCTTACTGGTACATGAATTTTAAGAACAGTAGGTATTTGTGTAAGAGTTTAGGAGCAGTGGGGTTTACCATTTCAAGAAAAAGATAGCCATGTCAATGCTAATGCAATGATAAGAATTTATTTATCACAAGAGAACACAAAATTCTGTAACTCATCTCTACTTATTTTTTGGACAGCTCTCAATGGCGTAGAGCTGCAGATGGTTTGTTTTACTCTGAAGCAAATAAAAACTGCCACTAAAAATTTTGATGCTTCAAACAAGATTGGCGAAGGTGGTTTTGGTCCAGTTTACAAGGTATGCTTATAATTGGAGACTAGTGATTTTTCTTTTACTTGTACATCATGTCACATTGTACCTCTGCCTACGAGATTTGGTGCTGTTTCCATAAACATGTAAACCTTCAAATTCTATTTACCCAAACCTTCTGAGTTTGAGCATGGAAATACATATGTAGCTCATAATTCATCTGCCTTTAGCTGCTGCGCACTGGTTCTATCCTCTTACCCCGTGGAATCTAACAACTGATTTCGTGTAGGGTCAATTACTTGATGGTACGTTAGTTGCAGTGAAGCAGCTCTCCTCTCAATCAAAGCAAGGCAACCGTGAATTCTTGAATGAGATTAGCACGATATCCTGTTTGCAACACCCCAATCTAGTTAAGCTTCATGGGTGCTGTATTGAAGCAGACCAGTTACTGCTTGTATATGAATACTTAGATAACAATAGCCTTGCGAGCGTTTTGTTTGGTAATTACTCCGTGTCCTCTTTATGTATAAATCTAGTTATCCTCTGGGTCAAGATTTTCAGTGGTGAATTTTCTGGTTCAGAGAACAGCCGATTGAATCTGGATTGGCCCACAAGGTTTAGGATCTGTCTCGGAATAGCAAGAGGTCTAGCTTTTCTACATGAGGAATCAAGCCTAAAAATTGTACATCGGGACATCAAAGCTACCAATGTGCTTCTGGATGGACAGCTCAATCCCAAAATCTCCGACTTTGGACTAGCTAGACTCACTGAAGATGAGAAGACCCATATTAGTACTCGAGTTGCTGGAACAATGTAAGGTCACTACTTTTCCAGCTGGAAGTCTAAAGTATTTTACGTTGACAAACCTTCTAATCTTAACACTTGCAGAGGATACATGGCACCAGAATATGCACTCTGGGGTTATTTGACTGACAAGGCAGATGTTTACAGCTTTGGAGTTGTACTTTTGGAAACTGTCAGTGGAAAGAACAACAATAACTACATGCCGAGCCACACTAGCATTTGTCTCTTAGATTGGGTATAAATCTGATCCCTGTTTGCTTGTTGTATCTCTCTTATCAAGGCTCAGCTTGAATGTTTCGATGGCAATATAAAGATCTTCCAATTCTTTCTTCATTTTTCACTCTTCCATTGAAATTACTGGCTGTGCCTGAAAAGCTACACTGTTACAGGCCTGTCATTTGCATCTGAGTGGGAGTATAGAGGAGCTCATAGATCAGAGATTGGGGTCTGATATTAATAAACAAGAAGTGGAAAAAATAGTAAAAGTGGCACTCTTGTGCACTAGTGCCACTCCCTCACTCAGGCCTATCATGTCCGAGGTAGTGTCTATGCTTGAAGGACGAATCGCTATTCCAGATGAAATTCCAGAGGCAAGTACTTATTCCAATGATCTGAGGTTTAAAGCCATGAAAGATTTTCATCAAGAGAGGCAAAATCAGAAGCTAATTCAAACCCAAACTCAAAACACCATAACTATTCGAACTGACATGGGCTCTTCTTCTGCATCTACAACTAATATGTTCGATTAAGTTCAGTTTCAAGATCAAACAGACACGTAATGTCACTTCATCCATGGTAAGCCTGGCTCATTCTAACTTCTTGTGTTCTCGAGGGTGCTAGACCACCTCCACGTGTATTTATACTTGTAATTAAGCAATTTGTTCAATTTTTTTATAGCAGGCTTGCTGTCTAATGTAAATACATGTTTCAGTTTTGAGGCAAAGGATGCAACATTTTTTTCTTCTGCTGCTGCACTTTTGAAACATGACAACTTTTTGTTACACTTTTTTCTCCACTATGTTTCTCGAACTCTCCAAAACTTTACCACACCAGCGTCAAATCCATCCGACACGCACTCGTCGGTATTTTTAAAGTGTCCCGAGAAACATAATCTAAATTCTCATCTCTGATCACACCATCAATACCAGTTTTATAAAATGCTTTTAGAATATTATTGGTCGTTTCGAACAACACATACACCCAACCCAGTGTAGTTTCACACGAAAAATAATATTACTCAACAAAAACTCAACATCACAAATAGAGCTAGAGTTCTATTTACGATAGAATGCACTAACTTTGAATCCCTCGTCCTACCTAGCTCTGCCCTGTCAGGCAACATGGATTAGATTGGAGTAAACAAAACATGATGAATGTAAATAATAATTATTTAATAATATTATACTAATTGTTTTGTTAACGTAAACAAAAAGATAACCAACTGAAGCAATATTTGATGATATGCATGTTTTACATATTTGTTCAAGGAAAAGTCAAAGGTCTCCAATTGAAAAGTTTCAAACTGTTGTTTTATGAGTTTGATAGTGGCCAAATTTTTAGAAGACGAAATATATACTTTTTAAATTTCTGAATGCACTTGTTTTTTTAAGAATAAAAGTGTTTGGTAAAAAAACAAACCAAGTATATTTAGGTAGTGTCTATTTTTTAATACGTAAAAGCTATTTTAAAAAATTATCACTCAAATAGAAATTGCTGTTTTTTCAAAATATTTTTGATAAGTTGATCTTGATCATTTGACACTATAATGATATATTTATTATGCGAATTTAGCTAAGACCTTTTCTTTTATTTCGTAAAGATAATACACCTTCATTTTTCTTTAATATATATTATATGAAAAAATAGTTTCTTCTTATAAAATATGAAGACATGATTGATTTATATTTGAATGTTAAGTGTTAAAATTATTTTAGTAGCCACTAAAAGGTAGTCTTAAACATTGGTCTCTTGAAAATCATAGTCAGACATTCAAAACAGGCTACTCACAAAATCAAAAAAAGAGAGAGAAATAATAAAAGTAAAAAAACAAAAAGAGATGAAAGGACACAAGTTGAATAATAATTATAAACATGAACTTAGTCTCTTAATTAAGTAAGTTTAACTAAATGATGTAAAAGTAGGTACCAGCTGCCAGCTGGCATGCTTATCTTATTTTATCATAATAGTGTTATTAGTGTGAAACCAATTTCTAGATTGGCTTCATGCATGCTCCCTTTATTCATATTATTTGATTCTACTTGGCCTGTTTACGCTCAAATTAACTTTATTAATGATATTTTAGAATTATAAATTTAATTATTAGTAGTTCTTATTTAATACTAAGAATTAGAATACCATAAAAAAGTGATAAAATTATTTTGATTAGATAGATAAATAAAAATATCTATTTTTGATATAACGGATTAAGTATAATGACACGTAGACTGTTATATATAATACTTCCTCTTTTTTCCCACGTGCTCCTTTTAATTTTGTGTCGGTATGACTTTTTTACATTTGTCAAAACAGGATAAATGAAATATTTTATGGAAAAATAAGCTAACTTTTGTTACTTTTTCGTGTTCAATACTAAAATGAAAAATATTATCTAAAAATTATTGTACATAATTTAAATAAATATTATGAAGGTAGAGTATGGGTTAGGTGTCCTATATAATACTCTATCTGTTTCAATTTATGTGGTACCATTCAAATTTTGAGATTCAATAATTTTATTTTGGTCGTAAGTTCAGGAATGAAAATGTTAAACTTTTTGAAATAAGATTTATATATTTGAAAACTACATAGTAAGTCACAATAATTATAATTCAGATTTTTTAAAAAAGTAATTAATAAAAACTTATTTGAATGAAATATGTCATGTAAATTGTAATTATTTAGTAGGCCAAAGTCATCTACAACCCCTTAAAGTTGTCCGCATATTTCACTTAGACACTCCGATTCAACCTTTTACCTATTGAACACTTTTACCTATACAAAAATTATTTCTATAAGACACATTTTGATAATCAGCAAAAAAATATCAAGAGTGTGTGATGTACTTGCCATGACATGGCAAACTAACTAATTAAAAGAAGCCATGTGTCTTAAAAGAAGCCATGTGTCTTTTGGGCTCCAAAATTATTATAATTAAAAAAATAAAATAAAATCCTAAACTATGTATGTTGCCGCCTCCGACCTGCCCACTCCCCCACTTCATCTTCTTCCCCTTTTTAAAAAAAAGTTTAAATCTCCTAAATTTTTCTACTTCTTTTTTTAATTTATTTTTGTTTTCAATCTTAGATTTGATTCATGTTTGAGTTGATTTGGCAGAAAGAAAGAGATGTGTGGTGGCAGTGTTTTTCGATGAACAAATTAAAATTTATGATTGATTGTTTGAAAGGCTAAAAAGAAAGATATTAACAACGATAGATTTGGAGAAAAATGAGGTCACTACAACAAATTCAATTATCAGGGACAAATAATTTCGTCATTTATAAATCATATTTCGTCACTAAAATTCTTGTGAGACGAAAAATATTTCGTCACTCAGTCGTCACTAAATGTGTGTCTCTAAAAGTATACAAAGACGATTTAGTGCTTCGTCGCTAAAAGTATTCACTACAAAAAAAACTGTTTTTACCGACGGACGAAATCCGTCGCTAAATAGCTTATTCCGTCGCTATTTTGGTTTAGCGATGGAATAGCGACGAAAAGTCATCTGTCGGTATTATGCGCGTAGCTAACAATTTAGCGACAAAAATTCAAATCCGTCGTAAGTTTAGCGACGGATTAGCGACGAATCCCTTCCGTTGTTAAAACTAACGACCAAAAAATCGTCGTTACATTTGTAATTTTTGTCGCTAATTCTATATGTTATTTCATTGTGTCATCGTATTGACGACCAAAAATTTGTCATTAATTCCGTCGCTATTACTTTTTATACATTTCTACCTTTCTTGTAGCTACAAAAATAGTTACAAAACCGTCGCTAAGTCTGTCGGCATTACTTTTTATATTTCTGTCTTTTTGTAGCGACAAAAATATTGTAGCGAATCTGTCACTAATTCCGTCGCCATTACATTGTATACATTTTATTATTGCAAATCCTATTCAATTTATAAAGTTGCAAAATTAACTTAATTCATAGAAACTAATATTCTACAAGATCCAAAACACATAACAAACTACAGAGTGCATAACCAACTTGAAAACAACCCCAACAATAATTTCCAAGCAAAAAAACTAAAAGTATTTGCAACAAAAATAATATCTAGCCGACAAAACTAAGAGAGATTGGAGAACCACATTAATCTTCATTCGAAACTGATGCAGAAGCATCATCAACATTAGCTGGAGTAGAAGTTACAGGAGTCATATGTGTGTTTGGCTGAGATGAGGTTGAAGAAAGCAATCCACGTACATGCTCAAAAAGTATAGGAAGCATTTTATCTGTCAGTGAAGGAATCAATCGTGTCATAAAGTCATCCAATTTTTTTGTTGCTATTGTTTGAGCATTCGTACATGGTACTGAGGATGAAGCATCAGTTCTAGAAGATGAGGCACAAAGATTCATCCCATAAAATGATTTATCTTGCGCTCCAAGACCATATATCCTTCTTTTCTTTTCCCCTCCTGCGGCTTGATAATATGCTTGCAATTGATCAACATTAGATTGAGTTTGTGTTTGATTATGTAATATTTCTAGATACTTTTCCTGTAAAAGACAATAATAATCAGTGAAATTCATTAATAACAACCACAACAATAACAATAAGCCAAATTAAGTTTATGTCGATAGCTTAGATAGCTTTTTATTTGCATATTCAAGTCTTTTTAAAATATATGTTGCTCTTTTTTTTTGCCCACAGAGAACGCACAACTTAATGTATTTATTGTGCCATTTATATCCAAGAGTTCTCGTTTTGGAAGTAGCCGAGATATAAGGAAGACTGAGCAGATATATGATCAGACATGTGTTTGACAGCAATAGACAATATGGTATCGGACAATGGAAGCCAACAACTCATAACATATTGAAGTACAGATTTAGGATCCTCTTTTTGAAGTTCGCGGGGAGGTATAGACAAATTGAAAGACTTTATAACTTTCTCAAGCACCCCCTTGTCTCCATCAGCTTACATAGTTAGCTTGATAAACCTGCCAAAGTGGCTCAAAAATAAATTGCACAAGAACATATGCATCTGGATATGTTCAGAATGGGTGGCTTAAACGAGCAAGGAAATACACTGTCAAGAGTGGCTATACGTGGAGAAGGGGGCATGGAGAGGAATGGCCATTGACTGAAGGCAATGGATTTGATCACTGATATGAAATGTGAACTGTGTGGAAGCAAAGACGAGAATATAGAGCATTTATTCTTCAAATGTGCTTTCTCTCAAGCATGTCTAACAAACATAATGAAGTGGCTTCAATTAAATATGGTTCAGCAAGATATAAATGGATGGTGGAATAGAATTGCTAGAAAGGTTGCTGGAAAAGTAAGCAAAACATTTCTATGGACAATCACAACATCAATTATCTATCACATATGGGGCGCAAGAAATGATATGGATGTAATGCTACTGTTGCTTTTGTGAATTAGAATAGAGAATTGGACTTACATGTACATTTCGAGCTCATTCACCAACAAAAGATTTTCCATCATGACCATGTGTATGGACATGCAAATGTAACTCACTCAGTGTTGGATCTCGACCCTTTTCAACAGCCTATCAAGGAATTTTTTTTTAAACATATGAAAATGTAAAAATATGAAAGAATTATATGGTGTAATATATGATAGTATAAAAAAGAGCTCACAAACTACAAATACACTCTAGAAAATATGGCAGTCAGCCCTTTTTTCTCAATAAAAGTGGCCTGCAATGCAACTTCAAAAATTTAACATCCTAAAGGTTTAAGATTATGCGTATCAGAGAAGGAATTCACATTCTTTTGGATCAATTCAGCTAGCATTCTCCTAAGTAGAATATGAGTCATTATGCTCAATCAACTCTCCCTTCCTATAAACCTCCAATTTAGAGTCTAAAACATTTATTGTGTGGTAAAACAAACCCATCACTACAAGTGTACATGACAACCAAATAAGTAAAAACGAAGTCCAATACAATTATAGCAGCAAAGCTTTATTAATAATAGGGAGACTTCACATGTTGCTTGAGTGCTTCATTAGTTCAAAAACCAAGACACTGCCTAGCGCACACAAAATTATATGAAATGTCTGCTTAATACGTTATTATGTACTACTATTCCTATTCACAGTTAGAACTCATTACTACTATATATTATGCATATAAAGTAAATTAAGGGTGTGCGAAAATATGCTTACAAGTCTCTTGCGATGCTCTCCAATAGTAATAGAGCCTCCCGTGTGAGTCCCCTTTGCAACAACATTCTGACCGCCACAACGGTTTTTTGAATTTATTTTTGACTTTTCAATAACCTTGGGATCTTTCCAAAATCTCATCCAACTTTCCCAAGTTTCTTCCGAAACATATTTTGGCCGAATTGCTTCTTTTTTTATGCAAGAAATAAAATCACTGTACCTTCTCGCTGCCTTCTTACGCCATAGTATCTTCACTTCACTATCAATGGAAGGATCCCAATAGAATTGCTTCTAAAATAATTTTATAAGTAAGCAACATTAGTATACAAACCTTCAAAAGTGATGTAAATTATTTTTTATTAAAATGGTGAAATATATACCTTGAATACTCCGAGATAAAAATCTTTTATTTCTTGTGAGACCCTTTTCCAATTAATTCCATTAGGATCAAGTTCACTCTTGAAAGACTCACATATCCTGGTAGAGCAAATATTTGAAGGTTCCAAACTAGAAAAAAAATTGAAAAATATTATATGAAGTCTATAATGAAAAAATTACACTATATAAATTTCAATAGTGCAAGTACAAACTTACCCGGAATGAGAAATAAAAACAAGTGTCTGCTGTCCAGAATTAGTATGGCTCTCACCTTCACTTATTGTGTTGTTCTGGCTAGATGTAGTCGCCTCCCTTATCACATTTGTTTGAGTAGATGCACTTTCTCCTATTGCATTGCTCTGATTAGATATTATAGGAGGTGTTTCAAAATTAACAGATGGAGTACTACCATGAGCTGATGTTTGAACAGGAGGCGAACTAGTAGGAGCTAATGTTTGAAATTGGTTATTTTGATCTGATCCAGCAGAAGAATTGATACCACCTTGATGTGAATTAGTTATGGGAATGGGAACAGTAGGCATATTAACTCGACTTGTGCTACCTCGACCTCTAATTAAGGTCTTGCTTGCACGGGTTGTGTTACCTCGACCTCTGCCTTGCGTCATATCTACAAGAAAAATAACTTTGAAATTGCATAGGCCCATACATTTCCAAACTAGAGAAGGAAAAGAAAAGAAAATTTTACATAGTCATGCTCTACTTCATTGATCAGATCATTACATTGCAACTTGCAACCACAATATTTCTTTTAAACCAACTGAAGTTACTAAGCAACAAGCAATTAATAGTCATGCTCTACTTCTTTTAAACCAACTGAAGTTACTAAGCAGTAAGCAATCTTTTTTTATGAGAAGTCAGATTTTTTAGAGGAAGAAAATCCAGAATTAAAAGCACACTAGAAACGAACATGGTAGTTTTTTAAAGGAACAAATTAAATAATACCGACTCTAATGATACCTGGCAAGTAGATCATATCATCAGAGACATCAATTAGCTGAAAATTCAAGAAGACTTTACCTTTGATCATGATTGACAAAACATCATCAAAGCAACCTCTTACAACATTATCAAAGGGATGTATTAAACTATCAGAAACAGAGACACAAAGAGTTAACTAAAAGAAAATCGACATACAACAATCATCTAACAAAACCTGACCAAGAACTTGAGTATAGTTAGTACTCACATATAAAATATGTCTAGAAGCATATTGTTTCTTAAAAACTAGTCAGTGAAAACATTAAGTTTAGTATGATTCACTGAGCAGAAATTTGCATCCAAAACATAGTACTGTAAACAAAAGTCACTAAAGATACAGTAGCAGATTTCTATCAATATTCTAGTCTGTATCTATTTCATCTTCGAGCTCCTCATCCTCATCCTCCCCATCTTCAGTTTCATCCTCAGTTTCACCTTCATCTTCTGTAGATTCTTCTTCTAATTCATGGTGCTCTAATAACAAACCATCATTAATTGGCTCAGCCATTTCAATTGTCTCCCCATTTGGATCATGCAGAGGTATATCTTCATCAATAGTAATATTCATATCTATCTCATGGACTTCAACTTCTTCAACTTGGAATGGAAGATTTGATTCTGGTATTTTGATCCCTCCCTCATCAGGTGATTCAATAACATCTCTAGGTCTGACTTTTAATACAGTTAACCAATCATCCTTATCCCTCTTTGAGCTAGGATAAGGCATATAACACACTTGAGTTGCTTGCATTGCAAGAATAAAAAGTTCATATTTTTTAAATCGACGACGATGATTAACATCGACCAATTTATATTGATTGTGCTCCTTAACACCAACATTCATTGTTGGATCAAACCATTCACACTTGAATAATACAACTTGCTTTAAAGGTGCTCTACGATATTCCAATTGTATAATTTGTTGTATCTTTCCATAGTAATCACCAACATTTGGATCAGATATACAAACTCTACTATTCGTTGTTGATCTTACACTACCGCGATGTATTGTGTGAAACTTGTATCCATTAACAAAACACACTGGATAAGCGCATGCGCTTATTAGTGGTCCATGAGCAAGACTACTCAAGTATTCATTTTCAATATGGTTGGATCGAACCTAGTTAAAATATTGTAAAATTTAGTCTAAATTCACAAGATAATTTTAAAAAAATCATTTTTTAAAATAATAGTGATTGTTTGAGGCTTACATATTCCTTGAACCATATAGAAAAATATGATTCGAGACTCTCATCTATTTGATCTTGAGGTAGATTCGGGAACTCTTCTTGCAAACGTTGCAATGCATGCTTCATTTCAACAAAATAAGTTATATAGAAAGTCACAATGTATGGTCAATTTTTTTATTTTAAATAGGTATAAGATTAAAATTTTACCTCACAAACGGATCAACCTCTTGACAATTTAGTAGAATATAAGTTTGGGCAGCCTTAATTTCTTCAAGAGATAAATCTCTTTTTTTTGCTTCTCCCGATAGCCTGCTTGGATGGGTGAATATTGATAAGTTTCCTTCAACATCTTTCATAACACCACCATCATCGTTACGGGTCACATTATGATGACGTGACATAACATGAGGTTCAAAATAATGAGAAAACAATTGTGTTGACTCTGCCATCAAGTACGCTTCACAAATAGAACCTTCAACACTAGCTTTGTTCCCAATCATATTTTTCAGAGTTCGTAGGTACCTATAGAGGTAAACAATTAATTTATAATTTCTTGTCTAGCATACTTTTCACCATAGGATAAAAACTAATTTACATTTACCTTTCAAAAGGATACATCCATCTATATTGTACAGGACCAGCAATTCGTGCTTCATATGGAAGGTGCACTGGTAAATGTTCCATTGAGTTAAAGAATCCAGGAGGAAATATGCGTTCCAACTTACACAAAATTTGTGGGATGTGTACCTCTAATCTCTCCAAGTCCACCACTCGAAGAGTAGTTGAAGTAAGATCTTTAAAAAATAAACTCAACTCTGTAAGAGCCTGCCACACATTATTAGGAAGTAATTCACGAAAGGCAATTGGCAATAGTCGTTGCATGAACACATGACAATCATGACTCTTCATCCCAAATAGCTTAAATTTTTCCGTGTCAAGGCATCGATTCATATTTGAAACATAACCATCTGGAAACTTCACACCTTCCAACCAATCAAACAAGACCTTTTTTTTATCCTTTTTTATTGTATATGCAGCTTTAGGATAGCTTCCATCAGGATTCCTTGCCAAATTTGTCCGATTGCAATATTTTACAACATCTAGACGTGTTTTTGGATTGTCTTTGGTTTTGCCATCAACATCAAGAACAGTGTTAAATACATTATCAAAGACATTCTTCTCAATATGCATTACGTCAAGATTATGTCGTATCATATTAGAACTCCAATAAGGCAAATCCCAAAAGATGCTTCGTTTTTTCCATCCACAAGACTTACAAATTCTTTTATTAACTTCTTTTGCATCTAATTCAGTTACTTTCCTTATCCCCAACTCACATATTTGATTCAAAATTTCCTGTCCTGTTCTTACAGGTGGTGGCAATCTGGTGACAATATGACCTTTAAGAAAGTTCTTACGATCTCTCCTAAATGGATGATTTTGGTCAAGAAACATTCTATGACTATCAAACCAAGTTGTCTTCCCACCATATTGTAATCTGAAGGATTGTGTTTCCTCCATACAATAAGGGCATGCTAAGTTTCCACTGGTACTCCATCCTGATAACATAGAATATGCTGGAAAGTCATTGATAGTCCACATCAAAGCTGCCCGTAATTGAAAATTTTGCTTTTTTGAGATGTCAAATGCTTCCACATCTGTCTCCTACAATAAAGTCAATTCCTTTATTAAAGGTTGTAGATAGACATCAATTTTTTGTTTAGGATTGTGTGGCCCTGGAACAATGACAGTTAAGAACATGCAAGTCTCTTTCATACACATCCCTGGGGGCAAATTATATGGAGTGATAATCACCGGCCATGAAGAGTATTTTCTTCCAGATTGAGCAAATGGCTGAAAACCATCAGTACATAACCCCAACCTCACATTCCTTGGTTCAGAAGCAAAAAAGGAATGAGTTTCATTAAAGTTCTTCCAAGCCTCAGAGTCTGATGGATGACGCATTACCCTCTCTTCTTGTATATGCTCATGATGCCATCTCATGTCGGCAGTTGTAGCATGAGATGCATATAATCTCCGCAATCTAGGAATAAGAGGAAAATAATACATTTTTTTGTAAGGGACCAATTTTCTCTTACGAGAACCAACACGACGTTTAAACCTCTCATAGCCACAAAATTTACAAGATGTTAGGTCTATATCATCTTCCCAATACAACATACATCCTGAGTTACAACAATCAATTTTTTCAACAGGCAAACCCAAGCTACGCACTAGCTTCTTGGTTTGATAATAACTATCGAGAACCTTGTTATCTTCAGGTAATGCCTCTTTCAATAGTTGCATCACTTGATTATAACCCCTCTGTGACAAAGTATTCTCCATTTTTATATTTAGCATCCTAGAAACTACGGCAAGTTGAGAGATGGAAGAACCAGGATACAATTCTGCATCAGCGTCTTGAAGTAAATCATAAAACCTTTGCGACTCAAGATTAGGTTCCTGCTCCATTGAAGGATTAGGATGTTCCTCCATTGGAGGTTCACAATGATGAGACGACTCAGGTTCGTCATTACTATAAGATTGCCAACTCGAGCCCTGACCAAAGTTTGATCCAGCTGCATCCAAAACCATTTGGCGATATGGATTATCATATCCCAATCCAGGTTGTGTATCATTAGGTAAATCAATAGACATCTCATCGATCACTTCTTTTTCTCCTTGATACGTCCAAACAAAATAGTTCTCAACAAATCCAAAACGAAAAAGGTGTAGTTTAATAGTTTCAACATCCATGTATTTAATGTTGTGGCATTTTTTACATGGACATCTAACTTCGTCACCACTCATGCGGTTTCTATGAGAACATGCAAACTTGAGAAAGTCATTTACACCGGCTATAAAACTATAATTAAGAGCCCCTCGACCATCTAATCTCGTGTACATCCAACTACGATTTATATTATCCATACTCCTATTTAATGTTAAAAAAACACAAAACAATTAGAGTTATTTACAAAATTAGAATTGAAGCAGTTACATCTGCTTGTGCTTTTATTTTAACAAATTCAGAAAACTAAGTTTCCAGTTTTTACAGCATCATAAAACAGCTATATCAAACCACCAGAAACTTAAATAAAAAGTGTTCCCTAAAAGAAAATTCACATACAACAAGTTGTTGTTTACTTACCACAAAAATTAACAAGTTAACAGAACTAGTAGTGTAATGTTAGAATGAAAAGAAGTACTACATTTTTATCTAATATTGCGTCGGATTAACCAGAAAACAACAGCGAGCAAGGGAAGGGGGAAAGTATAGCTTATGTCGGTTTCACTAAGTTTCATATATCAAACAGTTAAACAAAAATAAACAAAACAATATGACGGAATGATATCTATTTATTGCGATTTTAGAATATGTCATGTTTAATGTACATCAACTCATATACAATTTCATTACTCTATTATGTAAAAAAATTGGAATACATTAGAAAAAAAAATACAGACATTTGTTTCAGTCTCTTCTTTAAATACAGGTATTTTGTTACTTTTCTTTGCACCATACACATTGTTTTGTTATGTTTCTTTGTACGTAAGCACTGAAATAGTAGAAAAATTATCTTTTGATTTTCAAAAGTAACTTTCGATTTTAGAAACAAAGGAAACTAGAGTTAAAAACCTAGACCCATTTCTTCAATCACACCATCAACCCCAAAGAAATTTCTCCATAGAATCAAAAGGGGAAAGCTTTAAGATCTAAAATTATCAAATAACTACAAATAGAAAATATTTTTACCCATAACAAGAAAAGAAAAAATAGATCCTTCAAAAAGATAAATAAAAAATTCAAAGAGTAGTGCAGATAATAATAGTGACCATTGTTACCCTAACTAAAAAATATCAGAAAAAAGATGATGAAGAGTGCTGCAGATGAACCAGAGATGAAATAACTATAAAATTTTAGATAATAATAAACACTATTGTTACCTTTTGATGAACCAACAACAATGAAATTGGTTTTCCTTAGAGTAACAAGCAACAACAAGTAGCAAAGAGGAAGATGAGCTCGCATTTCCTTCCCAAAGAGCAACGACCGATGATTTTGGCAAGGTTCCCACAGAAGGCACTGCTATGTATGTGTACTTAGTGAGTTAGTGTGGAGAGTGAGTGATTTAATTTGTGTGAGTGAGATTTGTGCCCTAGAAATTTTTTAATATAAGATAGCGACGAAAAATTCCGTCGCTATGAAATTCCATCGCTATGTATCACAGTATAGTTTAAAAAGAAAGGTAGTCACTATAAAAAATTTAATAGCAAAAAACTCAATAAAATTAGCGACAAAATATCCGTCGTTGATTCCGTCGCTAACACTTAAATGTAGCGACGGATTTAAGTTTATCGCGATTTCCGTCGGTAATTATCTAATTTAATAGGCAAAATAAAGGCGCCAAACTTTAGCGCCTAAATTTAGTGATGGATTTTAGTTTTTGTCGCTATTCCGTCGCTATTTTAGGTCCCAATATTTTATTCGATAATTTAGCGACCAATTTATTTTTCCGTAGCTAATCCGTCGGTATTTAGCGACAGAATATTGTTTGTCGCTATAATCGGTCGCTAAATGTTGTTTTTTTTTAATTGATTATATTAACTACAAAAAGAAAAATCGTCCCCAAATGCTTAAACATTTGTGACAAATTCATTTGTCGTAAAAAGTATATTTTTTGTAGATAATAGTATGTTTTGTCACTAAAAAGGTTATTACTATCGATAAAATTATATCGTCGCTAATGACTATATTTTATATACCAAAAATTATTTTGTTATTAAATGTATTAATTAGGGACAATTTTATTATTATAAAAAAGATTAATTTTCCTATTATCCTCCCCCCACCCCCCATCTCAAATTTATTTTAAACTCCTCCCTAGGAGCTCCCACATCATGCTTTCTTGGGAATTCAAACTCACAACCTTAAGGTTGGAAGTGAGGAGTGCTTACCATCAGATCAACTCTCTCTTGCCTCTCATTTTTAATTTATTTTCTGCTTCACTCACTTCTTTCAAATTTAACTTTTGTAGATATAATATATTATATGATTATTTATACACATACACAAGTGCATGAAATTTACCACCCACAATTCATTCAAATGTAGATTATATTTTAATTAAACTGTATATTTATTAACATATCTTTAAATATATTCAGTACGATTATGTTATTTTTATAAATTTTAAAAATTATATAGTACAATTATAAATTTAAATAAAATTAAACTTTTGATTTTATTTAAAAAATTGAATAATCGGATCAATTCGGTCAATAAATCAATTGTTTTGTAAAAAAAAAACATTGATACCCATAACTATAGTACTTCATCATAATATATTTGAAATCCTAGGTTGTTCGTTTCTTTCATTTGTGCTTTCATTTTTTTAGTTTATTTCGATTTTCACACTGATGGAAAAGTTAATAGAAATTCATGAAATATTTCGCACCTTTGCAAAGTCTAAGTTTGTAAGTCGATGTTATCTCTGTATAGTTGATCTACGTGCATTTGTGGAATTACTATTAAATAACTACATATTTTTAGACAGAAGCAAATAGATCGACTTAGTCTATGCAGTTTACCAATCACAAATCAATAGACACGCACAAAAATTAGCACCAAGACTTGAGAAATTATTTTTTCTATTGTCTTTATCGATGAAAGTGTATCAAATAAAAACAAAAGTGTTAAACCAACAAATATTAGTGATCTAGTGGCAGAATCGTACCCCACTCACGATACTTATAACCTGGATTGTATTTTTGAAATGATGCATAATTGTGTAATTTAAGAAAATTCATGAATTGAACTTTTTCATTTTTACAAAATGGACCGAATTCGTTGGTTTTAATATTTTCCCTCGCCAATTAACGAAAGAACTCTGTCTATTTCTTATGAAGCACTTATATTATTCTTTTTTTAAGTTGTCACTTGTAATTATGAACAGTTGTAGCAAAAAAAATTGTATTTAGCTATGAATTTTTTTCGTAGAAAATAGTTGAATTATTCACTACAAATTTTAAGTCGTCGCTATTTAACACCTTACATATTTTGTGACAATTTTTTTGTTATCACTGAATCACAGATTGTTTAGAGACAATAAAATCTTTGTCACCAATTATTTATACTATTAGTGACGAAATAAATATCATAATTAAATTTAAATTCTTATTGCTAAAACTTATAATATTTAACTACGAATTCTAATTTGTCGATATTGTAACAACATATTTTTTTAGATGAAATTTTTTTGGGTAAAAAATTCAATAAATTTTAAGACAAAAAATAATTTGTCATGAATTAGATACATTATTGGTGACAAAATAATGTGTCACCGATAACTTTAAATTCATGACTAACACTACTTAACAAATGGTGCCAATTAATATTTTGATGGGAATCTTTAGTAGACGAAACTTTGCTAGGGTTTTTTTGTTTCGTCACTAAAAGTATGTGTCTCATATATTTAAGCACGAAAAGTAAATTTTGTCACTAAAAGCGAATAATTAGTGACGAATTTGATGTCGTAGCAAATAATTTCATAGCTATATATCATATTTGTTGTAGTGGGTGGTGCCAATGGTGGGAGGTGGGTTAATGGCTGGTTAAAAAGGAGAAAGAAGATGGCCTGAAAAAATAGGGAAAGAAGATGATGGTCAACAAAAAAAAGGGGAAGAAGATGATCGGAGAAAGAAAGGAAAGGAGAAGTGTGGCTATGGTAACGGCAGATCTAATTAAAAAACAAGGTGGCGTGGAGAAGAAGAATGATTGCAGCTCGAGAAAGAAGGGGAATGAAATTTAATGGTGGGACACCGATGATTGTGGTGGGGTGAGAAGGTGGTTGCAATGGTGGTTGAGTCAAAGAAGAAGAAGAAGAGATGCTAATTTAATTTTTTTTTAAAAGATAAATATTTTAACGTTAAAATATTGGAGAAAAAACAATTCATGCGCCCCATTTGCGTGACTCACAAACGATTTGTCATGTAGGCAAAAAATGCTTAGACGGTTCAAATCTGGGGTGGTAGAGGTGTTCAATAGGTACTAGGTGTAGTTGAGATGTCTAAATAAATAATGAGGACAACTTTGAGTGGCCGCAGATGACTTTGGCCTATTTAGTATTAATATTATCTGCCATGCCATGTGGAACCTAATTATTTAAAGGGTAAATCACATAAATATGCAATATTAAAAAAATATTTACCATCTATGGCAATACAATTTTTCTAACTAAATATAACAATTTTTTAGAATTAAAAAATTGTACTGTTTATCTTCCTTCGTCTCTTTCTCTGCCCTTTTTCTCCTCCTCTTTTTTTTCTTCTTCTTCATCGTCTCTTTCTATGTCCTTCTTTCTCTTCCTTCTTCTTTTTTTTTTTTGAAATTTTCATTTAAATAACTGTTTTTAAATCAGTTTTTGCCCATATTTCACTATTTTTATCCAAAAACACGACGAGAAGAGGAATAGAAAAATCAAAAAATTGTACAATATCATGTTCTCAAATAGAAATTTCAAATCTTTAAAATTATAGAAACAAGAGTTCACCATTGATGGTCATTATAAAGATTCAAATTTTGAATTCATTATTTGAATTTTACGAATTTGTGATTAGTTTGGTTAGGTTGTTCCTACAAATAATTGAAAATGTCGTTTGGAGTTTATATCCCAATTTTAAGAGGGTTTGGTTAAGTTTATAATTGATTTTAGGAGAAATATTAGATTGAAACTCGAAAAAGGTGAAGTTTATGG